AAGATCCCAGGTGTCCTCACCGGAATGTGACCTTCTTGCTGCGAGGCAACAGTAACCACCGCTCCACCTTGCAGCCCTCAAAGGCAGCAATGTTTGACAAATTATAGTCTATTCAATGTGTTTTAGAAGCCAAGAAAAAAATAACTGACCTCAATGTAAAAAGAAAAAATGTAAAGCTGGCCTCAGTGCATGAGGCATCAGTGTAAAGGTATGAATAGTGGTCTTAGTTGCGCTCATCAAGTTGCTTTTCTTCTTTTGTCAGCTGTTGTGCAGAAACGTTCAGTTTAATTCTGGCAATTTCTACAACAGTCAGTCTGCTGTCGATGGCATTTCTTGTTTTTTGGCTCCTAAAAGAAAGGATCACATTTAACAGCATTTAACCGTATTTTGGTTAAAAACAAATAAATAAATCATTCAACTGGATTTTTCTAGCAATTTAATACAGTGTACAGTTTCCCAATAAAGTGACTACAGTTAAAAAAACAAAAACAAAAAACATTGCATTGCTCACTTGGAGCTTTCCGTCATTCCTCAAGAGAGAAAGTGCCTTGAAGTGAAGTGGAACAGACAGGTGGTCGCACTTATAAAATGGAGAGCAGTGTGTTTGGAGATCATGCTCTATTTTTCTCACTTTTTTATTTTTGGTTCCACTCGCTCTCTGTTTTATCTCCAAAGGCTGACATTTTCTGGGCTCCAGTTGCAAGGACAGTGAATTATTTATGACAGCTGTTGCACGTCTGTTTGGTCTATATTTCAGTGCCTGTTCGCTTGTGTGAGTGTGTTCATTTGCATATTAAATCTGGCTGTTTTTACTGGAACAAAGGAGTGTCCAGCACCGTCCGACAACAATGACATCAGTGTTAACCCTCTCCTGCCGTCCCTCTTTGCCTGGATTACCCACAGACTGACAATAGGACTGTTTGTAGGTCAGTGTCGTGTCCCACTGCCCTCCATTGGCCCACCAGCAGGCTGTCATGAGTTCTGATCAACACAATAGGCTTCCACTGGATGACTGGTGGAAGCTTTTCTTCACATTGACAAATCCTCTTATCCACAATAGCTGTTAATAAACAGCAGAATAAGATTATTTCCTATTGCTCAGGCAATTCAAGCAGCCAATAATGCTCAAATCTCTGCTGACAGCATCGGCAAATTAAACGCAGCCTTACAGTAAACAGCTTTATTGAGTTTGCTCCACTTGTTAAAAGTCGAAGGACTGTCAGCAGGCTGACGGGGGAAACATAGCCGAGCTCAGAAAATTCCCTCACTTTGTCATCTGATAATTACATCTGTAATCGCACTCCAATACGTTTTCCAGTGAAGAGTAACTGAGAACATCCCTTGTGTCTGAGACAAAGAAGAAAACTGTCCTTTCAGTCCCCACATGCTGACTTTTCTCATCAGCCACTTCCACATCCACACTGCTCCCCGTTCTTCCATAAAAAGCCTCACTGGTCGTCTTCATATTTGTGAGGGAAGTTTAAAGCTATTTTCATCTCAGCTGGAAGAATTATAAGAATGTTTGGCTGAAGTCAACAACACAGTCTCTCTCTGTGTGTTAAGACAAGGTGGCCCGCACTTTATGTGCAAGATATGAAAGGCTCAATGCAATGTTTTGGCCAGAAAGTTGCAATTCTAACTTAATATTGCCACATTAACAAAAAAATGTATGTGATTATTTTTATATTACAGTATTTAGACCACAGTAAAGCTGAACTCTAGTTAAAATATGAAGTATGATTTGGACTTGGTATGGTTTAGTTCCGTTTCTTCCTTTACTCTAAGAAAACTATTGGTCCATAAGTGGTTCTTTAGAGGGTTCTGTGATTCTTCAAGCACCGTCACTATTCGAATAACCTCTAACCTGGAGTCTATCCCAGCTGACTTAGAGTGAAGGCAGGGGACACCCTGGACAGGTCGCCAGTCTATCACAGGGCTACACCTAGAGACAGACAACCAAGCACACTCACATTCACACCTACAGACAATGTAGAACCACTAATTAACCTCAACATGTTTTTGGACTGTGTGGGAGGAAACCGGAGAACCCGGAGAGAACCCACGCTGCACGAGGAGAACATGCAAACTCCATGCAGAAAGATCCCGGGTGTCCTCACTGGGACGCAAACCGGTAACCTGCGAGGTGACGGTGCTAACCACCGCTCCACCTTGCAGTCCGATATTGATTATATGTTGGGTCTATAAAACATCAGAAAACTTGGAGAAATTCCCATCACAGTTTCACAAATCCCAAGTTGGCATCTTTTTTTTGTTATTCTGTGCAACCAACAGTCCAGAACCAAAAATATTAAATGTGCTTTAATGGAAGGAACCCAGACATGCTGCAAATTCCTATATTTGACTTTTTGCAGTCTTTTTTTTAACTTTACAATGAACTTAAACAAATATCAAGTCCTGTTATCACAGTGTAGTCAGGTGGTTCCACAACAAACTATCCTAAAAATAGTTCCTTAAAAAATGTATTTTTGCTAAAGATCTTTGAAAGCTCCATTTATAATGCCCCCAAAAAACAATTTTTTGAAGTTCCTTAAGGCACCTATGGGAGTTCTTTAATAAACCTTTGCGACAAGGTTCTTTGTGCAGCATGTAGAGGGAAGGTTTACTGCAGATCAATACTAAGAAGCTGTAAGTGATCACCTTCATCCTATGATTAAACATTCTATCCTCCAGGATGACAAGGCCTCCATTCATAGGGCATGAGGAGGAACTTTTTAAACAGGGATGACTTCATTCTGGCATTAGCCAGAATTTAAGAATTACTGAGGTCATGAGGCAAGACTCAAAAATGAAGTCACATTTTCATGTATTTTGTCCAGTTTCAGGATTCAGTATCCACCTTAGTATCCATTATACATACATACATATTCATACATATACATTTCCGTGGGCACAGATTCAGAACAAGGCCTGGGTTTTTAAATGATGTCATATCAAAAACTGAAATAATACAATTATCAAATTGCAAAGGACACAGCTGAGGTCATGCAGTATGTCATGTAGCGCATAAGTGTTTTTATCTGGCGTGTCTGTGGTTTTAAGTCCATGCCAGTCTTCTTCTGTTACAGTCATGCTTTGATGGTATCCCATGTGGTCCATCACATGTTTTTAATCTGTTACAGCGAACACTGAACTTTACTGACATTAAAAACAAATCGTAGCACAAATGGTGCTGTCTGTCAGGAAAATCACAATTAGAAATCAAGTCTGAACCAGGCTAACGTTGCCTCTGTCAGTTTTAGTGACGCTGGGCCATGGCTCTGGAGGTCTTAGCATCTGTGTGTTGGTCAGTTCCCCACTTGAGTCCAGAATAAAATGATTGACAACTGCAAAACTGATGAGATTCCCATCAGACCCAGCTGCTAATTATCAAATGTTACAAAAAGACAGGGAACATGGTAAATATTATACTATACCACTTGATCATTTTTAGCACACTGGTTTGGTTTAAAGGTTTGCTGTGGATTCATGCAACCTCCCAGAGGTTTTTCTTCTCAGATAGAAATGTCTAGTTGTTGCTTCTGGTTGGAAAAATGTTGATTCTTTATATATTTTCTAGCATGCTGGCTTAAAAGGAGTCTTCTGTAGATTTGAAAGTCACACCAAACTGTCAACAAAAACATGAAGTAAATGGCCTCTGTGTCTGCATCAACTACTGTCCAAGAGAAGCAAATAAGCTGAAATCTAACTGACTGTCAACATGCGTCTGTATTTAACAGAAAGCCTCACACTTCCCTCAGGGCGTCTCATCCCATGTGCTTTCCTTCTCGCTCAGATATTAAGCTCCAGTGATCAGACAGCCGAGCAACACAACAGACACGTGTGCTGTATGAATCCTCAGAGTGTGATCAATTATAGATACAGACATCAGATAATAAGGATTTTTACGCCTCTAATTTGCTCATTAAACAGCATCTACCTCCTCACTCATATCTGGGTCATGCCCAAGGGGACTGAGCTACGAGAACACTGAGAACAGAAACAATTCCTCCCTCAGCCGGCACACTTCTGTCTGTAACAGGCTCTCAACAGCTGGTCAGTCCGTCACTCCACGGCGCACCGGCTCCCTCTGGCACAGTCCCGCAATAATCAAAACGTGACAGGGCCAACCGCGAGGGCCGAGGCAAAGCAACAGATGGGAGACGTCTTCTCTGGAGTCACAGCGCTGATCCTTTTTAGCCACATGAAATCACTGATGTCGCTGGGACTAATTCAATATTATCAGGGCTGGTGTGTCTGTGAGACAAGCTGCAGACCCCGATGCAGTGAGTCAACTCTGATGGGATCTGCAGGCGCAATCCCATTAGAAAGAAGAGATCTTTGTCTGGAGCTGTGCGGTGGCCCCAATCCAAGCCTGCCTCAGTGTGTGTGTGTGTGTGTGTGTGTGTGTGTGTGTGAGAATACATCCCTGTTCCTGTGAGAGTGTGACCTATTCACTTGGTATTAGTGAACATTACTCAGGGCGATGATTCAACGTTCCTGTCTAATTTCTGGCTGGCACAGCACCAGGACCAGTCACATCAGGCAGCATCAACACAACGGCAGCTCCTCAACACAATGGCTTCCTCAATATATCTGACACACACACATGTACTTAGCGTATGCCTCATAGTGACAGAAGCTGTAAATACATTTCAGGCCTGCCTACAAATTAAGACATGATCACAAAATACTCATTTGATGGCACAAGAACACTGTTGACAGTGATTTTCTTATTTAAAAAATAATGTCTTGTCTTGTTAAAAGGTGATCAAGTAACAGTCAGCTCTTATTACACACCCATAAAGTGAGAGAACACACACACAAACTTGCCTCAAACGTTTACTCTGTGTGCGTTCCTCACTTCTAACAAACCAAAAAAGGAAAGGAATCTTGTTCTCTCTTAAATCCTGCTTTACATCTACAAATAAAAACTGTGTTAACGGGGCAAACTTATGAACTTCAACTACAGGATGAGCGTCATGCAAATAAGTTTGACTTACAGGGCAGGCGTTTGCTGTGCAGGTTGGCGGATGAGGAGCTCATGTTGCTGGAAAGTTGTCAGGAGTCGCAGAGAGGACGAGTGTGTTGGTGGCCGGTTGGTCAGCCTTGTTAGAGTTCAGCCGAGCATCTCCCACTTCCTCTGCTCACTCCAAACTGGCTGGCTGACTGACTGGCTGCCACCCTGCTGCTCCCCTTCCTCCTTTTCCCTCCTTCCCCCTCAGTGGACTCTGAGACACTCGGATGAGAACAAGTTTGTGGCTCTGTGGGGACGAAAGCAGCTGACCAATGACAGGGAGGAGAGGAGGAGCTGAGAGGCAGCGAGGAAGGGATTGAGAAAAGGGAAGAGGGAAGGAGGGATTTTATGTAACAGAGTGGAAAATACCAAGGAGAGAGAGAGAGAGACACATGCCTTTGTTATTTTTGTCTTCTTACACCCCCACCCTCCCCCTCACACCCTCCCTCCCTGTCTCTTGTTCCCTGTCTCCCTTTTTTTTTTTTATTTGTAGGAGATTTAAACCTTCTTCCTTCAGTTTCTCCCTCAGGGTCAAGTGATGAGTCAAATATACTGAATACAGACTATCAGCTTTATCATGTGTGGTCTTTATTTATTTATACAGATATTTAATAAAACAAAATGGAATAACCTAATAATAAATTGATGTTTCTGTTCAATTTGAAGATTTTTATTTTATTTTTTATTTTATTTTTTTTACAGGTTTTGTTTTCTAAAGGAACATTTTGTTCCTCACACAATTTCACATATGGACACATAATACAGATTTATTAGTAGAATGATCATGAAACATCTTTTAGGACTTTTTTTCCTTTTCTCTAAGATGTGTTGAAATCAATTCTTGCCAAACTAATAAATAACTAATAAACAACTAATAAATATATTTATCATTAATTTCTATTATTATTATTATTATTATTATTATTAATAATAATAATAATAATAATAATAATAATAATAATGATAACAATAATAGTAGTAGTAATCGTAGTAGCAGTAGTATACTTTATAACACTAGTAGTATTTATATTATTATAGTTCTAAAGAAATATTCTAATCAGTTCTTAAAAAACTTTTTAGTGATGAGAAAAAAATCTTTTTTGCTTAATATGAGCCAGTCAGGAAACTAGAGTATATCTGATTATTTGTGTGCACTGGACACCATCTAGTGGACAACAGTCGCCACTTGCAGCTTTTCTTATCAGGACTTGCTGATCACACAATATTTGCATGCAGAAGCTTCACAAAACAGCATTACATCATTGCCTTTTTCCAAAATACAGCATTTGAAAGAGGCTTTTGGCGAGTGTCTTGTTTCAGACAGACGCAGGAAGAGATAAAGCTGTGAGTCATTGCAAGAATGTACAATCAAGAATCAGGACAATGGAAACCGACTTGCTGTTCGTCAACAGTAACTCTGATCAACAGAAGATGTATGCATTACATAAGTTATTCTCACAAGCAAGAAAAACAAACCTTTATGCACCAGTGCACAAGCATGGAAACTTTCACTACTGAAACTCACACTTGGTGTCTGTGCCAAGCTGCGAAGCGAAACTGCAAATTCAAGCTGTAAAGTAGCAGTTGGGAAGTGGTGGGAGTGACTGGCGATTTCTATCAATAAAAACACACTCTTTGTAAATGTCAGTGGTTGTGGTGGTTCCACCTAAATGTGCTAGTCGTGGCAGAGGCATGCGATGCAACGTCTTACCATGCCATGAACTTTCTGCGCCTGTACGTGCGTACATCAGTGGATGAAAACAAGAGAGAGAGAGGGAAAAAAAGCAGACAGCTACAGAGAGAGAGAGTGGGCAGAGGAAGCATGATGTGACTCAAAGTGAGAAATCCTCTTCACCACAAACTAAATTATGCGTAGGCTTTCCCCTGACTGGGGGTTCACCTGCTGAGGCCCTGCAAAATCGATAGCTGAGACCCAGGATGCTGTGCTGCTGATGCAGCCAAGCCAATGTCCTCTTTCTTGTGTTTTCACATGAGATGAAAGGATGTGCAACCCTTAAAACCCTGCTTTTTTTTCTGCAGAGGCTTGGCATTGGTGCTTAACATCGACCTTTGAATACTTTGATCAAAAGCGGTTTGAAAGCAGTCATTCGGTTTGGCATCTTGCTAATTCAGGATGAAACATTATTCATTCACATCTGCCCACTGAGGTGAGAAAAGCAGGAAGTGAGAAACAGCAGGAAGAATTAGCGAGGCTATATGATCTCAGGTTGCACATGTGATCTGTTTTGCTATCCTTTTTTTGGGGGGGGTGGGGGTAGCGGGGAGTAGTGGAAGACTCGTGAATTTGTGTATGTCCGGGCTAGTCTACAGCAACGGCTTCCCACCCTCAATCCACCGAGCAAAACGTCAAAGCCATCAGGCAGTCATACGCCTACCATCAGCTGAGGAGTTGCACAGCAGTCTCATTTCTAATTATACACCCAACAACAGAGAGCTACGGAGTGAGGGAGAGAGTGTGTGGAATATGAAGAGAGGGAAAGAAGGCTGATTACAAATGGAAGAGAGGCTGAGAGTGCTACTCAGCAGCAAACACAGGGTGAACAAGTTCAGGTGTGAGAGACTGAAAGAGAGAGAGACAGAGAGAGAGGAAGAAAAAAGAGGTAGAGACATCAAATCTGTCTGAGAAAGGTTAACAGGACCGACTGACTGACTGAGCAGAGTGGGAGTGTAAAATGTAAAAGCGAGTAGGAGGGAAGAGAGAGAGAGAGAGAGAGAGAGAGGGGAGAGAGAAGAGAAAAGAAGAGAGGAGAAAAAAGGAGGAGTGTGTGTCTGATAGGCAGTCTGTTGAGCTTGTCTGGATGCCTCCTTTCATTCCGCTCTGTTTTGCTTTTTCACCTGCAGACTGCGAGGACGACAGGAGCCAGACAGGTGTGTGTGTGGAGCGTCTGTCTTCAAGCTGTGAGCACGGATGGACTTGCTGCCTGAGGATGGACGCACACAGAGACACAGATGGGTGAATGGAGGAGCATGTAAGTGAGACTTCTTAGAAAATCTTGATTTGCGTGTTGAGAAATTCTTGCATTTTTTTTTTCTTCACTAAATGAGCCAGTTATGACAAATGCACGTCCGAGGAACTGATTGTGGGATTCGACACTCGAGGTTAAACTTTAGTTAAATTGTGCTGAAGGGTCATGGAAAGAAACGTCAAGCTCACTAAGTGCAATGTTGTCACTACATGTGCAAATAATTCCATCCTCAGTACAGATCATCACTAACATGACGGCATTAAACACTGCTGTGGGTACATTTAATTTCCATAGATTAGTGTAGTGACCATGATCGCCTCATATGGTTATTGAGACTGAAAAGCCTTCACAGTACAGGCCTGTCTGAGTCAGGATCTGATCATACCTGTGTAGGTCACTGTGAGTGCGTAGCCCCACACCTCGATGCAATTTGAATTGATTTACATTCACACTGCAGGCATTTAGCAGACAAATACTTATCTATTTATGTCTCATGGCATAACGGAGTGCTCACACAGGAATGTCGGTGTGAGGGTGTCGTCTGATCCCACACACACTCACACAATAGAGAAACAGCTCATATCAGAGACATGCCTGTCAGGAGGAGTGAAAGAGGTCCATTCAGCCGCGCTGCTCAGCGGTGATGATGACATAATGGCTCGAGCTTTGCATTGACAGGCTGTAAAAACTCCTCTGCTGCTCTTTACCGCCCTGCAACACTTGGTGTAAAAATGCGTCTGCAGTGTGCTTGAGGAGGTAACACAGTGTTGTGCGTCTGGCCACAAGGCGCTTATATTTAGCCCACCTCAGTGAACTGACTCACGACTGTGCGTGCACGTAAGGAGGATGATGGGGTTTCAGTAGCTTGTGGCGTTGGAGATGACTTCAGTCCCATGAGAGAGGCGCAAACTGGGTCCGCACAGTCAACATCCTGTATTCAGTCGCTGTATATTAAGTTTTCAGTGGAAAATGTCATCATGAAAACTTTACCAAAGGACACGATTAACCTCAAACCAGGTGCACGGTGATAAAAATCTAACCTTGAACTTTACACCCACCACCAATTTCACTGTTCCTTGTCCTCGCTGCACCCGTTCCATCACCAACCACGCTGTGCAGGACTTTGTTACCATAGTAACTTTTTTGACAAAGCAGTTGGGTGATGTCCATCAAACTAAGCCCTGTCAATATAGCAATTGGTGGTTGGCAAGCTGTAATTTGAAGCTGATGGTGAAGTTATTGTTCAGATGTCAAGGGGATATTTACAGGCAGTGATCTCAACACGTGGCACTTTCAGAAGAGAGAGGAAAAGTTCTTTCAAAATCTTAAAGAGAGAGAAAATGACAGACAGAGAAAGAGAGACTCTATATAGGGCATGGAAAGACTTTCTCTAGCTTGACTGTTTGTGAGGATATCAAGTGCATCTATGTTTGTTTCTTCTTCTGTTCAGACTGTGACCACCTCAGATCTGCAACACTTGCTAAGAAACTAATGGAGTCTGTCACCACCTCTGCTCCAGCAGGAGGCCATGCAGTGTCAGCGTGAATGACAAGCACAGTGAGCCAATGAGCTTCACGACAAACCCGGCTCCAGTCCCAGACAGGGACAGCCTCCCGCTCAAAAAGAGGGACCAAAGACCGAGCTCACCTCTGCAGCAGCAGCAGCAGCATCAGCATCAACAGCAGTGTGATGCTGCAAATTTCAAGGCTCCATACCCTTACAAGAGCCACGGCGAGTTTAAAGCAAAGCACATGGTCCCATTTCAGCCTGTGCCGAGGAGGGTCCCTGCCCTGTACCAGCCCTGGATACAGACGCACACATCCACCAGGTCCAAACCTCACGTCCTCTCTGCGTTCAGGGAGCATCACGGCTGGGCAGAGTGGAGAGAATTCAATCCCCTGCACCCTGGATGGGACCACCACTACCAGCACCAAAGCCACCTGCCTGCAGACCACCCAGGCCATCCGCACTACGCCTCCAGAATCAGTGCTGTCTCCCTGGTCACGGAGGGTTTCCATAGAGTGAGTGGAGGGTACGGATGGGAGAAGCTCAAGACTTTAAGAGATAAAAGTTTGAACCCAGAGAGACAGAGCTACGGCAGGCATAAAGGTCCATACGTGAGGAGGGGAGACAGAAAAACGGAGTATTTTCCCAGGGTTGAAAAAGCAAGTCCTCCATCTTTGAGCACGTGCCTACCTCACTCCCAACACGAGGACCTCACTCTGCAACATGACTTGTTGCACAGGCCAACAAAAGCTGCCAAACTCTCTGTTTGTGAAGTTCAGCCTGACAACTCAAACGGCACATGCATTTCCATGAAGGAGGACACATCCAGAGCTCCTGCTTCTTCCTCCTCTGCCTCTCCCAACCGTTTCCCCTGGCTGCTCCCTCACTTTGTGGCCGGCTCCCTGATCGAGCTCAGGGACGGACGGCTGAGGAGGGTGGAGCACCTGCAGACCGAAGACTTCCTGCTCGGCTCGCTGGCCTGCCCAGACTTGCGCCTGAGCTGCTGCACAGTGCAGAGCATCTCCCCTTCAGCCTCCTCCTCCTCCATTTCCCGCCTCCTCATCCTGCTGCACGACCAGCAGTCTCAGGTGAAGGAAGCTCACTCTGTGGTATTGTTATTTCACAGCAGACCCCCTCACGGTATTTTTCTTTCTGCTAGTTTATCTATTAAATGCTGCATGTAAGCCATGTGGAAGATGCTGCATATACACTTTCTGGAACTTACTCAGCAGCTGTAGATTCTACTGATTGAGGTATAGAGGACAGATTCTTAAATCATCTCTGATTCTTAATGAGAAAATGCCTTTCTATGACAGGGTTAAAGAATAAAGCTGATGGCATTTCATATTTTATATTGTGATCAATAGCAAACACAGCATGCGTTGACTGTGTGTTCAGACCTTACTCCTCGGTGCCAGAACTCCATTATTGTCCAAAAGGTGTTGCAACACATAAATTAACACATATACCCTTGTGTTGCCATAAACTACTAGAATAGATTGTCTGTATTAATCCATGGCTGAAAATAGTTGCATTTTCTCCCTGTCAAAGGAATGAATGTTAAACACCACAATAGCCGATCATTTTAGGAAGTAATACAGACTTTTTAGCATTTAAAAATGTATGTTGAATCTTTTTTTTTTCTTCTTTTTTTAAAGTTGTATGTCTTCAGTAGTTATGAAAGCATCAAATGGGGAACTGGAATGTTTGCTGAGAAGAAAAGAGAAGATGTGTGAAGGCCTTATCCTTTAAAGCTATTTATTTGAGATTGACCAAAGGTTTCTAGTGAATCTTTTGAAGCTTTTGGGCGACTACATAGAAACCTGCTATGTTGGTGGTTTCAGAAGTCATTAAACACTTCCTTGCCTATCTCTGTATAGTTTCTGTTAGATTTCAACACAAATAGATTCTTCAATCTGGAGCAACACCACCCCCTAGTGAACAGCTGTGCTTCTGTGTCTCAGTCTACTGTATTCATGTATTTCCCTCCTCCAGGAGCTGGTGGATGTGTACGTGGAGTACCCGTTCTTTGTGCGTGGGCGCGGCTGGTCTTCCTGCAGCCCTGAGCGGACTGCTCGTCTCTGCGGCCTGCAGTGCCGCCAGCTCAGCGTGGGGGACGTCTGCCTGGCTCTCACCCCCGTCTCACCTCCTCAGCCCCCGCCGTCAGCCGCCCTGGAGCCAAGAACCTCACCCGACAAGTCAGAGGGAGGCTGCGAGCCTCTAAAGGCACCACAAACTGCCCTGCACCCCCTGGTTCCCCCAGGGCCAAAGCAACAAACAGGAGGGCAGAAGATGGGGCCAGAGGCAGTTCGCAGGAGACACTATTCTGCCCCCGAGCTGAGAGGTCCAGGGACTAATTGCATGTAATGAACAGGTTTTATGGGTAGGATCTCTTTTAAGCTCTGATATAATCAGCCTATATTTGCTGTCTTTCTACCTCCTGAATTAGATTTCTGTGCTTGACTGTCGTTCTGATCTGTATTTGAGGAGTAACAGCTAAAGAGGAGTGATACAGTAATATCAACTCTCAGGATCCCCTGGAGGTAAGTTTATCTTAGCACATACTGTATCCGTCAGGTTTATCAGGGATCACACACTGACAATGAGCTGTGTCAGAGTTCAGCGTTGCATTTTCTGTGAGCCTGATCAAAGTCTGTAACTACACACATTTCTGATCTTATTCTTGTCAGAGAACTCAGGCTGTGTAAAACATTTATGAGAAAGTGCAGAACCAAAGTGTAAATCTATGTTGCCACAGGGAGCTGCTTCAGTACTTTTGCATTTGAAGGAAATCCGTAGGTTCAAAAGAATATTGTTGGAGTTTTAGCTCTAAAGTGAGTGTTGGTATTCTTTCTAGCAGATCTGACTAAATCAGCCCACGTTCCTTGAAAAGCACATAAAAATACTCCCTCAGGTTTTTCACTGCTGATGATATCGTTTACAGTTTCTCTCTCTTCCGCCTGATATTATGTAAGACTTCTTCATAATCACAAAAGGAAATTCTCTTTCCAAATTAGAACCCAGATAATATTTTTTCCTCAGCTTCAGAGGGAATTTCACACTGACAATCAATCCGATTCTTAATTGTATGAGCAGGATTTAGTTTTACGCCTCTACCTCTATTTTCTATTTACAGATCTGTGTTTTTAACAGTGCGGGCTGTGATGTAATGTGCTGTATTGGGAGCTTCTCGGTGAACGTCAGTGTGAATGTCTTTATATGCCTGGTTGTTTTATGCATACCCTGTACATATGCTCTGCTTTTTGTACCGATGATCCTTTTTAAATGTCTGTCCTGAGTGGAGATGCTCATGCTATTCTAAGTACTTGAAAGGTGCAGTCTGTGTCAGTTCACATTCAGTTGAATGGGATGAAAATAAAAATGTGGATCATGTGGACAAGGTGCTGTACGCGAAACAAAGAAATAAATACGTCGTGTGTAAAACCTGCTTCGTATTTGTAGCCGATTCCTTTCTTAATAAACATGGATTTTTGAGCTAAAAATAGCCTCTGTCAGGGCCTACGTTGAGGTAAAAACATCACAATTGCTTTTTGATCTTTATTCCGCTTCTTTAATGTGACAAAAATAAAACACAACCTCTCTTTGCCCACCCGCAGCCCTGGTCCGACACCAGAAGGCAGCTGCATCAGGGGCAATGGTGCACATCCTGATGTTCACCTTGTGCAGATGAATCGCTGACATCTTGTCGGCTTTAAGCCTTTGACAGGGCCGGTGAAATATGTCTGCATCAGAGAACTGGGTCCAGCGCTCAGGCAGCTGAATCCCACACACTGTTACGAACTGCTGTTATTCTTCACTGAGCTCCACATCAGCTGCCAGATGTCTCAGTCCTGACCTAGTCCATCTCTCCTGCTGAACACCAGTTCAACACCAGTGAGTCTTGCTGGAGATTTTTCTTTTTTTTTTTTTTGCCCCTCATCAGGACACAAGTTCATCCAGCTGTTCTGAAAAGCCAAGGTGCAGCAGTTCAATGGGAAGATGGAGCTCTAAAGTTTTACGAGCTGTGAAATCTGCTATAAAACGCACATTACCACAAAGGCAATATTTTATAATCTCATCTCAAAGAGCATTCAAATGCAGATATGCGCTGCACATGATAGGATCTCTGTAAACATGGAGGGTTGTCACTTTTTACACGATGTTTTTAGCAATAAAAGTTTGAGCTGGAGAAATAACTCCACTCTGCTCAAAGTCTTTTCAGTGCACTTTTTCTCATCATATTCAAAGGAAAAATAATAAAATCCTTTGTTCGGCCTTTCTCTGTGACCAGTAGTTGTAACGGGGCTGTGGTAGCGGTTTAGACCGACTCAGCTGCTTGTCATAAAAACAGAGCCCCAGATTAAAGCTTGCTCTGCGGCCATAACTCCCCGGTGACCGGCCAGTCAATCATCTCTTGTCTCTGCTCGCTCCACTTCTGCCTTTCTTCAGCATCTTGCAGAACTCACAGAAGAGGGTATGAGCAGTCAGTGACAGCCACAGGCTCTGACCACCATGTTGCGGTATTTCTTGAGGATGACATTGGAGCTGTCGTCAAAGTAGAGCACCGAGATGCCGTGGAGCTGTGTGGGGGCGCAGCAGGGTTTGGGGACCGTGTCCGGGTTAATAAAGTGCACCTGTGTTAAGAAGAAACGCAAATACGTGCTCAAATAAAGTGAAGGCTGTAGTGAAAGTGCCTGTGGTCAGAGACTGTTTGGGCCTTACCAGAGTTTGCACAATAGCGTGATTGGTGGCATTCATGTATGAGTTGAGAGGGAAGGCGCACTCTCCCTCACAGTAATATGCTGCATAGCCCTCTGGAGCTATGATCCAGTCCTGATTGGAGTAAAACCAAAGCCAAAAGGTTGGTTAACTGTCACTTGGAAAGAAATATACATGAAATGCAAAGGAAATTATACATCTTACCTGCCATCCCAAATCTCTGAAGCTGACATACAGCTCATGCTTTTTACATCCCTCTTTGGAGATGCCGAGGTTGTCTGAAATAACAAACACAAAAAGCTAGCTGGTAAAGTTTAATAGAAACAACTGAGCTGATGGAACGTGATCAGATTTTAAACACCTGTTGCAGCCTCCACTGCCTTCAGCGCATCTTGGACGGTCCTCTGAGGTTTGGAGCGGCTCGACTGCCGCCCCTTGTGGCCGTGAGCTGAGCGGATGCTCCGGAGTCGCACTTCATTGACTTTGAAGAAGACGACCAGGAAAGGCTGCTTGTCCTGAGGCCCACCGCCCGTCACCAGTCCGGCCAGCTGGGGGTTCCTTCTCTGGCCTACAGGGGGAGACAACAGGGAACAAACCACTGAATATGACAAAAACACACATCTGAGCGCCTATTAAACATTATTTATTCCGCCTAATACGACCACAGCAAACCACAGTCGTAACTTAAGACTCTGTAAAAATCCTCCACACAGATGTATTCAGTTAATTATAGGCCGTAAAGAGCATTAAATCATTATTCTAGACAAACACTATAATCCTTGTTGCTGCTATTTGTCCAACCCCTGGGAATCAACATCTGGCAGTCACTGACCATTACTGTCTTCCAGCACCAGGTGCAGGCCGAGGTTCTGTTCGGGGTTGACCAGCCAGAGGTTACTTGTCGTGGTTAGATCAAAGACCAGCCAACCCTCTTCTGAAGCCCAAATGTCACGCTGATCCAGCAGCAGCAGCTCCACTTCACTGTGGAGACAACAAAATGTAAATTAACTCCAGGCATTTTAAGGCTGAAGGCACTCAAAGCATTTTTTTTTTTAAAAACAGTGAAGTTTACTTGTTTGGTTGCAGACTGAAATCTCAGTCTTAAAAAATGCGTTGTAGATGAATGTCCACCATGATGGGTTAACTGTCGCTTGATTTTCACTGCAAATTGTTTTAATTCAAAGCCAAATAATACAAAGTTGGCATTTAGCAACAAAACATTTCAGAACTACATGTGCATTTCTATAATACTTAAAGTTAAAATAGTATTAGGGCAGCTTGTTTTAAGTCGTTTTATCCCTGTACTCCAGCACAGTAGATAGTCAGTGAGGCAGTTACATGCAGACAATGTAGCAGCAACATAATACATTAAACCAGCCAAAAAAAACAAAAAACAGTACTATTAAAATAAATAAAGAAAAAATCTAATGTCCTGGATTAGCAACAGTATGAATGCATCAATAATAATGAGCCAAAAACATCAAATATAGATGCAGAAAAAGTACTTTCACTTTGAAGTTTTTTACCCCTTCAACATAAGCATATGGTGTTTCTTATATGTTGGAACACATCAAAAACAAAATAAGCTGTCAACACAATAGCTTTTCCACCTTAAACCTGCAGTTTACTGATGACAGTCTCAGAAACACAGATTCAGATTTCCAAGGTGAGCTGGTGTGCTCAGCTGCAACGAGTAGATTCACGCATTTGAGAGGAAGAGTCGATGTGGAGGTAAATCTAAGTTATATAACGTTAGGAAAGTTTTCTATCTTTTCATGGAAGACACCTCGAGATAAATAACTTCTGCTACATAGATAAGAGTTTCTAAGGTATTTTAGCAATGACTGGAGAGCGACTCTAAGCTAATTTTGCTGATTCTACTTATATACTTAAAGGTTTTAATGCAGGACTGTAGCTTGTAGTGGAGTATTCTAACAATGGGGTAAAAAGTAAAGGATCTAAAAACTTCTTTCATCACTGCCAAAAACTTGTATGACTGAACAGACAGCATGTTTTAGTGATTGAGAACCAGACTGAAGGCAAAAATCCCCCAAAATAAGCCAGAAGCGAACATGACTGTAATACAGACCTGTCAGAGCATCACCAGGGAAAACACAGAGTATCTGCTGTTAACTGACACTGATATGTGTGGGTGTGTGTTTTGGTGGGGAATTTAGCTGCATATCAACACTTGCGAATTCAACGTGTGTGTCTTATTGCATTTTATTTCACAGAAATGTGCTCAGCAGTGCAGAAAATTGGGTACTAGTTATTACCATTCATTCACAATGTCATTGTTGCCCATTATAGTTTAGAGATCTGAACACTCAGCTGACACTCTGAACCATGCAGTCCTCCTGCTGTGAGCTTTATCAAAGCAGCACTTTCTTAACACCCCTCAAGAAAACTCTGCGCTGACAGACTGCTGTCGTCTTCAGGGCAGATTTCACAGACAATTGCTGTATTTACATACTGAGTTTCAGAAGTCAGGCAGACGTCTGTCTTTGTCTCGCCGCCTGCTCGTCTGTGTGGCTGAGTGGCCTTTACGTCTGTGAATGACAATGGTGTTGTCTTTAACACTGTCATCAGCCCTACAGTAAGAAGAAAAACTTACATCTAGAACTACAGGTTGCACATGACCCCCTTCAATTAAAATCAATGTTTTTAATCCCCACTGAGCACTAAGACAGAACATGTTTTGGTGTCAGCACAAACATTTGCAGGGACTTCACCAATAATGATTCTGGCAAATGTAGAATCATGGCAGGTATTAGCAGATAAATCGACTGGGATTTTTGTAATGCACGGCACCCTGTAAAAAAATGATTTTGTATTGCAGTGTTGCCGCTTTTAGATCAGGATCCCAACACCACAACACAAAGACAGCATTGTTCAGCTCTGTAGTGAACCTCGTGGGCAGTCTGCAAGAACAAACCTATTACATGTTGTTCTACATGTGCTGAACAAGCAATCCTCCAGAATACGTAAAATGAACTGCAGACGATATCGGCTGCCTTGATGACTTTTACCAGCTTCTTCTGTGAGAGAGCCCCAAGGATTTAATAACAGAGTCACAGTGATGCTAAAATCTCCTTTTAATCCATGTCAAAAACCTATTCTTGTGTTATATTTGACTGAACTATTGAGTTTATGGCTGGATATTTCTTGATGGCATTCATGAAATTACTCAGTAATGCTGCAAATATGCACATGTGAAAAGCTGGTACCTTAGATTTTTCTGCATTTGCATGATATGCATAACCATAACAACTTTCAAATGATTAATCAATTAATCCTTTTATCTTTATAGCTGCTTTCAGTTTCTGATTGTCTGGGGAAATAATGCCGTAGCTGCCATGTTAATTAGGATCATTAGGGTTCTAACCTCCAGGAGGTTAATCCAGTCATGTCACAGCAAAAGCTGAGTCAAGCAGGTGAGAGAGAGAATTCATAATGTGAGTAGGTGGTGGAGCTGTGATTTGTGTGAAAGAGAGTAATGTGTGGAGTCTCTGTTGAGCTGTAATTTCATGTGTGGTTTGAAACAAGACAACGGTGTGAAAGCAACACAGAAATTGGCAGACAAAACACAGCTTGAGACTGTCAGACAGACAGAGACACGCAGGAAAAACCACCTGTGCAACAGAAAGAGTGACGTCTTGAGGGTTCGGTGTTATTTGTGGTGGGAGCTGCGCGATGCAAACGTAGGTCTCCTGGGGACTGTCCTGTTCTGACCATGTGAGAACAAACTGCTCTGAAAAGAACCAACGCATTTCTGTAATTGATACTAATGTCTGTGTAAACAGCGCCGGCGCTGACACTAACATCAGCAGAAATAACCTGCGGGGAAATGTGGCCTAACAATCAGTTTTCACAGAAAAACACACAGGAGCACAAAGTGTTTTAGCCTGTTAAAGTCGACCACACGACTCGTACCATGTCACTGATTTAAGAAGATAATCATATGGAGCAATGAGACGGCCAGTTACTTACAAGACTTGGAAGGTCATCTGTGAAACACTGTAAAGGCTGAGTTCAGACAGATTATAAGAAAATAAAATGATGGAGGAAAACCGAATTTAATTAATGCTGCATTAAAATTAGATTTAAAGGGCGCCGCTATAGCTCACCTGGTAGAGCTGGCGTCCCATGTACAGGGCTACAGTCCCGATGCGGAGGTCATGGGTTCGAGTCCCGCTCATGACCCTTTCCCGCACATGTCCTCCCCCTACTCTTCTCCCCACTTTCCTGTCTCTCTCCCACTGTCCTATCAAATAAAGGCACAAAGGCCAAAAAAATAACTTTAAAAAAAAAAAAAAAAAAATTAGATTTAAAGACTAAGATTGTTAAACAACAGCTCTGTGAGACTGCACTTATAGTAACGGGGATGCTTATTAAAGAACCAAACTTGGGTAAGGTCATATATGTTGAAACATAAAGATATAGTTGACTTAAAAATGTTAGTATTCATGTGTAAAGCCAAAAAATTGACTTCAAAATCTACACAAATTGTTCATTTATATATATAATTTATTTAAAACCATATTAACATCTTAACATTTGGATTTTTTAATATCCTGGGAGCTGTCATGAGTGAAATGAAGCTATTTTAAAGGTAGGAAATCATTATTTCATGAAAAAAAAACTTTTACATTTATAACATTGATACCCACAGATGAGTTTTTAGGAGTTAAATCAACGATCGGAGAAGAACTTTGAGAACAAATAATGACAATCAATGTAACTTGAAGTGTCTTTATGCACAGACTACATTTAAGCACATGTGTATTTCATTATGTGGAGGGAAACTGGACTTCTCTGGTCAATGGCTTGTTAATGTTGCTGAAATATGACAAAGAAAAAGCATGGGGACGATATAAACTTACTGGGTAATATTCATATTAAAATGATAATTATTGATGGTGTTTATATCGTTGAAGCTTTGTCCATGATTTTTTAAATGGGGGGGAAAAAAAGGATGGCCATCTGTTTTTATACAACGTTATTAAGAGAATAGAATATTTTCTTCTTTTTCATGCTCCTTTTTCCAGTCACTGGATGTGTAACAGATTGCTGGGTTATAGTTCATTTTTTTTGTTTTGTAAAACTGTTTGGAAATCATACATTGAAATGAACAAAACAAACTAAACTGAACAAAAATGAAAAGAAGTGAATACTTTAACTGCTAAATAAAAATTCTCAGGATCATTTAAGTTGTTCAGATACACATAAATGTCAACATCATGATGGAATAAACAAAATTACAGCAATTCAGCTAATAACTGAGGCGAATGAAAGGACTCACAAGCTCGTCACTAGAGCCATGCTACTCACTTGGCAAAAAGTCAGGAAATATGCAGATGTGAGTCGGAAAATAGCTTTTTCATTATTTGGTGAATTGACCTCAAAATGCTGAACACAGTTAAGAAGCATTAAGCTGGCACAAAAGACTTAAGACCAAGCAAATGAAGGGTGAGCAGCAGCAGGAACCATAAAAAACAAAAACATATAGAGCTTGAACTGGAGCTGAAAAAAAAAACACACATTTACCTGTTTGGAGGCTCCTGCAGGACCTGATGGACTGTGACCCTGAAAGTTTCGTTCTCACTGCGCTCCTGGATGAAATCCTTGTAAATCCTGAACTCCGCTGCCGTTATGGCTTCTCCCTCTGGAATACGGGAAAGGTCAAATCGAAACTCTCTCGTGTGCTGCTGGAACAGAAGGTCCTGATCCCGATCAACTGTCAGAAGACAGACAGACATGATATTAGTTGATCAAACCTCAAGTACAGCTGATGGAACAGTTGATGTTGACATTGTGCCACCTGGTGATGACACCAGCATTAGAAATGATTTACAGTTTTCTTCCCAGCTTACAAACACACACAGGAAAAAAACCTCTTTCAGACCCTCAAAGAGAAAGTTTGCACCGACATAGAAAAGGCAAATCGCTTAGTACAATCAGATGTTAAACCAGTCAGCGGTTTGCAATATCTGTCAGAACGGTTGTTGATTCAGGCGACTCTCTGATGTGTGTTGCTCTGCCCGCAGCTCGGAAGCACTTTGTCAGAAATAGGAAAAATCCTGCTTCCATGAGTGAAGTGATTGATGTAAACATCACTTAAGTCAAGTCTGCCATACGTGCCAATGTGGGGGGGGAAAAAAAAAAAAACCACATTCATGGCTCCGTTTGGCTGCCAATTTAAATTGCACACATGTGCTGACCACAAGAAAAGGCCCGTTAAAGCACAGCCCGGAAAACCACAGCAGCCACCGTGCTTTTACAAACACACTCACACAAAGTATAGAGAGAGACACACAAATACATGCCACCAGACTCTGTGCCCGCCGCGCCTCCCTGATCACTTTTGCAATGCATCACTGTCCAGTCATTTCATTCTTGATTGCAGAGGAGAAAGTGGGGCGGCGGTAGCTGGTGACACTGTGAGGTTTCCGCCCAGCTCTGAGCCAGCTGAAGCTCTCCGACACTCAGAGTTTCCAGAAGCACGGTGGTTCGAGAAAGACCCCAGAGCTTCCTGAAGCTTTCCAGTGTCATGTTTTTACAGCATTAGTCAACGTGCTTGTCCTTGGAAAGAGCGGTGGAGGTCTCTGGTGAAGGTGTGCGGAGCGGAGCAGCGATTAAGCCGCCTTTAAACACATCCTGCCCACTGGCACACAACCATGACATCATCATGACCTCATCCCCGTGTTCCCACTGATGCTCCACCATTGTTTCAGAACGCAAACATTCATCCTCGCAGGACCCGCCGACACCAGAAACGGAACACGTTTCACGGCGCTACACTGACTCACAGTCTTTCAAAAACACTTTTAACAACACAAAAACACACACACCAGCCGTTCGTCGTTAAGAGAGCTGCATACTGAACCCTGCTAGTCATTTGTTTGACCGCAATTAAATGCTGGAAGGGCGACGAGGGGTGATTTTATGAAAGCAATAATTGCTTGTAAGGACTTGGTGTGTTTACGTTAGGGACCATTAGCTGCAGAGATCAGACCTCAGATATGCAAACTTCCCCCTGGGAGGCATTTCAACACTTCAGATTACTCCTGACACTGCAGGGCCACACAGCCACAGAGCTATCATTAACCTATGGCAATTTTATGGTAAATGCTTTTTTTTTTCTTTTCTTCTCACAAATCAACGTGGGAGGTTTTAAGATGTATTACAATGTCTGTGTATATATATATATGTATATTATATATACATATATATATATATAAAAAACTCATGTAAGTCATTAAAATGTGACCCATTTCAAGAATTATTCAAGCTATTCTGAAACTCTGTTTATTTATTCGTGATGTCCGATTTTCTTTTTAGCTTATGAAAGTTAGCGGTGAATCACTCATTTCGTGAATATCTGCATGTGTTGTGTCAAGTCTACCAACACCCCTTCTAAAGAACTAATATCGCACCTTTCCATAAACGTGCTGTTAAAGATATAGGTGAAAGTACCGCACAGAAGGGGTGTTTAGCAGCAACAATCTGAGCTTCAGCGTGAAAAGAAAGCAATTATTTAGAGCAAATAAATAAAGGGAAGGTTAATGAGATTTTCTGGTGTGGCAAAAGAAATTCTTCACATGATCTCCTTATGCTACCTACAGATCAGCTTAGCAGGACAAGCACATTTCTTCCTGCTTATTCTCAAAAACACAATAATCCTTCTGTTCTTCAGCGACACGGTCATTCCAATCTGTTATGAGAGCATTTGTGCTTTTTTTTAAATAATAAAGTAACATTTCTTCTCATTAGCTCTTTTCTCTCACTCTGCAGGTGTTCAAAAAAAGTGAACGCATGTGTACACGTCTCCAGGAAAAGCCTTCAGCAGCAGTAAACATGAGGAGTAGCAGAGCTGGGAGCTGCAGAAGGCCTCAAACGACAAATATGCAGCAGTAGCTACCTTTTATAACACTGCATGGTAATGAGACGGTGTACATGCATGTGTAGACTTTACAATATGACCTCAGGGGTGAATTAATCCCTTTACCTTTCGCTCAAACGGATGTGGTTGATTTATGAAAAAGATTAAAATAAGCTGCACCAGCTCGCCTTCACACTTCACACAGGAGAAATACCACAACCGTCGCTCTCAAAGTGATCATCAAGAGACCACCAAGATAGTCACTCTGGCAAAATGTGGGAGCATGAGCTAAAAACTCTGCCAATCATCAGCACAGAAGGGCCTTGGTGGGCTCGAGGAAAAAATAACACACACTTTTTTTTTTATCCCTCTTTTCTCTTTATAATCAAACTCTTCAAATGTGAAACCACATGAATCTGCTGTTGGTTTTGTGCAACAGTGTTTCCAGATCTCATTAGCGAAAGACTGTCAGTTAAAAGTTTGTGATGAGGACATAAAATGTGCTGAGGATTTTCTTAACAGTCCCCAAAAGTTTTATGTTAGCCACATGTTTATGTCCGTATTGACAAAAATAACTGGAAATGACTCTTTTGCCCCAGTGGCAAACGATCAGACTGGAAGGTTGGAGGTTTCTTGGAGACGTATCTCAGATGAACTCGTCACGTTGATCTGTAACCCTCGTCCAAGCCTCGAGGCAGGAGATGGTTTTGATTGTAACTACTGGCTCAGGCACCATTTTGTCTACTGTTTCCCCAGAGGGCTATCAGAGCTGCAGTAAGAATGCAGGATTTGCCCTTTACAAACGCAATAACATCTGAGTGAATCCGACCTCCTATCAAAATCCAAGCAAACATGCAAACACACAGATGCAAGAACGCCTGCACGGGCACCTGCACGAACAGAGGTTACCACAGCAATAATATACTCAGATACAGTTTTTGTGTCTCTCACTCTCTAGGGGTTTCGAAAAGCCTGTTCAGTTCCTAGTCATGCGAAACAAAGCCATGCTAAAGCCTCTCCCCCAGAGCTTTGAAGGGATTCTGGGGAAATCGGATACATGCATGTTGTCATAACATTTACAGCTTGGAATGCATAATGCTTCATTTCAAGTGAAGAAAGTGACCTAAAAGCCACAATATCAAACACAACAGCTTTTACAAAGACAAAGTTAACTTGTGCACTCTTCTCTAGCAGCAGAGGATGGAAGGGAATGGACAAAATAAGCATTCATAAGTTGACTTAGATAATCAGAGTGAAGCTGAAGTAAGAATAATATGATGAAAACGTGCTTAAAATGTAAAAACACTGCAGTAAATCGCAGAGTAAGTTCCAGTAGTGGTGAAGAATGGTGATAATCTCTGGGCAGTGTCATGTCAACTCACAGTTAAAGGTTCCTTTATAGTTAAAATAAAATGTTACATCAAATTATAGGATGCTGCAAAGCCACTTTATACTCAGACTATCTGCGTTACCTCATACAGGTTTGACACGACCTGGTAAAAAGTCACATATACTCACCGAGGTTGACGAAGCTCATCACCGTGTCCGCGTCATCCAGGAAGCGGCTGTCCTGCGGGGTCACCACTGAAGAAGTCTGCGTGGGTAAAACCGTCTTGTAATATGAATGTCTGTACGGATCCGTGTCAGCAGTGATGGTGTTGTACAGGTCCAGCATGAACATCGGCGCAGCGTTGTGTTTGGTGTGAAGGTGCGGCCGCGGACGGTGCGGCAGCCCCAGGATGGAGAGGATCTCCCGCTGCATCTCTTTGCGCTCCTGGTTCCGCAGCCGCCGCTGGATGAAGCTGGAGCGCACCTCGTCGTCCACCGAGAAGTTGGAGAAGCCGACCCGCGTGGCCAACGCGCAGTAGCCCCACGAGAGGAGAATCGCTATCGTTGCCAAGGCGCTTGTCACCATTTTTAACCCAATTTTACGCGCGGCTTCAACTACGAGAAAGACAAGACAAGAGATGCGGTTCCTTGATAAAGAGATCTCCTACATGTGGAAGAACTGAAACAAACAATCATCTGTCAACGCCGAGAGTAATTCATTCATCATCTACCGTTGCGCGCTGTCCTGATGTGATACAGCCGTGCGCTTCTCTTAATGGCAACTTGGGAATGTATTTTATTGAGGCGCTGTGTCAGGGGAGGGGCAGGAGCGGTGGAGAATGGATAAACCAAGACTGGAGGGACTGGGACATGTGCGTGTGGGGGTGAGGCAAGGAAAAGTAGGGCGAGTGTAGATCGTTGTCCTTTTTCTATCTTGGTAATTAGCTGGGTGGGTGTGGACCTTTGCAACTCGAGTGTAGCACCAATGCGTCCTTTGTATGGACGGATTGTTTGGCCATTGATGAAAGTGAGATCTAATCAGATCATGTTGTAGCTGACAGTCATCTTCTTCTTTGCATGCAGCAGCCTGGCAGCCAGCCTCTCTGTGACCTTTCATGAGAACATCTTATCTTCAGTCCTCAAAATTCATGTTCACTCCTTTACAAGTCCCATCTATTATTTTCTACCGGTTTAAATTTAGTATCACCGTGCGTAAAAGTTGTGCACATCCTCAGACACTAAATCATCTGTCTAAATGTGAAGTGGGAAAACCCCCCGATCCCGTTTCCAGCACAGACACCTTTGATATATGCAACAATAAAGTCAGGCCCACCCCAAGTGTTGAGTGATCAGCTGCAGATACATGAAGGGACATGCCAATGAATGACTACAACAGTGTGTAAAGCACATTGCACAAATCACTGTGACTGCTTAAATTGAGAGTTAGTGGAAATGGGGGGGCTAGTGATGATTAACAAGGCAAGAACCCAACCCTGAAGTACAGATTATACCTGTCCTTTACTCATTATTGAGGTGGGTGGATCAACATGTAGGAAAAGAAGTTAATGTTAAACAGCAAACAAACCGAAATGTCGAAAAACAAATATCCTTTTTCTCTTCCTCAACTTTAACACAAACCATATCTGTATAAACGGGGAATCAGTGTAGCAGGTCATAAATGAATTCATTCAAGCTAAAAGCATCCGGCTACATTCGCAGACTGTAGACTCTTGAGATGTTTTTCCCAGCAGAGGTCACTTTACATGACTCATCCCTGCAAACTCATATAAACTCAAGAGCTCTCCATGTTCACTACAAACATTTGTAAATCTTACTACATCTTTAAATTTAACTATTTAACCCGTTAGTTTCACTTTGATTTATCTTTTTACTGACTCAACCATGAGCCTGATTTCACATTTTGACTATTTAACAAAGTAAAAAGCTGCTGGGAACCCAAAATACTAGAAAAAAAGGAAACTTTTAAATATGCACAAATTAAGTTACTGTGAGTTATAATCACTCAAAATATTTTTGAGCCTTCAGAATAGTTCAAAGTTGTTCAAAAAGTGTTTCACTACATTTACACACACACACCACAGAAAAATGTAGGAAATAAATGTATCCCATACTGTATTGCACACATCATATTCTGTTTATTTCATTATTCTGCACTGCCTCAGTTCTGTACAGATCTTTATTACTTCTCCCAATTAAGCTATATCCATCCTGTTTGAAGCCATGCTACTTAAGAATAAGATGTAATGAAAATCGGTTATGTCCATACTCAGATCTCTTCCCCTGGGAATCTTACTACTTCACTACGTTTCAGATGAAAATATGTTTGTTTATATTCCACTACATTGACCTGACAGTTGTTAGTTTTTACATTCCAAATTTAGACTACATTTAGGACATCATCAATCTGTTGAATTGCTGTAAATTAGTTTGTCCATGGTAACTGAAATGTTGCTCCTGCTTCTCAACCAACTAGAAATATGTTTACAAACTTGTTAATATGAAATAATATTCCAATCACAATATAATTGTATAAATGTAACGCCAAAGATAAAGGGTTGGTACTGTATTTACATTTAGGTATGACACTTTAGATAGACCTGAATGCAAGGCTTTAAATTGCAATGTGATATGTTTATACTATAGTACCACTACTAGTACTGAAGCAACAGATATAACTGGCCTAACTATTTTGGAGCTTATTGTGATTTGTTGTGCCTTTTTTTGATGTCTCTTGGTTGGAATCCAGCCTTCATTTAACTATATTACTACATAACTGCATTTTTTTCTGAGTCGAACAGCAGAGTGTTCTCTTGTGACAATCAAAACCAAATACTTTGGAAAGACTATGTTGAAAATACAGGCTCAATGGTAGAAACTCAATGCCACAAAAGTAAACACATCTGCGATCACTGACACACAAGTTAGACAACATTTGATCGCTGAAACAAAACTAGACGCACATGTAATCTCCAATTAGCCTAATTGCATGAACATAGCTATATATAATGACCCACAAAAACCAGAATATTCTGTTTTGGACTGATGGGCTGTGTCTATCCACAGGTCTGCATCATGGCTCCACGTGGATAAGAGTTGCCAGAGGAAATGAAAAATCAGATTGTGGTATAGTAAGACTGGTAACCAACTGACAAATCAATGAAAACACAGTAGCAGCAGTAATTAGGAGGTATAGAATGAGCCTTAGTACCACTAATCAGAACCACAGTGGCCATTACTCTAAAATGATGCCACAGATAATGAAATACTTGCACAATTTAGCTCTGAAAGACAGAAGAGCATGTCTTTCTGACTTCGCACAGGGTTGCATAAAATCATCATGCAGACTACAGTATGGATGGCATTCAAGAAAAACACCCATTGGGTACAAAACTGCAAGAGACACAACACAAAAAGAACCATGATGAATATTAGGAGCCGATAAATTTGTTAGGTTCAGATGGGGTCAAACATGTTTGCCGTTAACCTGACCTGAACTACAACAGTGAACACTTAGTCCCAAAAGTGAAGCACAGCGGTGGGAGGTGTGATGATATGGGGCTAAATGAGTGCAAACGGTGTTTCAGAGATAACATTCATAGATGAATATCTGTGGATACACCAAAATACTGGCTGTCAATATGACTCCCGGGGGCTTCCCAAGAGAGCAATAGTTGATAATGATTCAAAGCACACTGTCAGAGTTTCTAGAGATGAAAAGAAGTAAAAGTTTGTGGCCTGACTTGAATCAAACCGAAAACCTTTGGGCTATTTTGAAGAGAAAGGTAGAGTAACACAACCCCTGGAGCAAAGAGCAGCTGGAGAAGAAAAAAAAAGTGTTTGCAATAAAAAAAAATTGGTGCAACACACTTTTAATGTCAGGAATGAAAGGTTTACTTACTTTTGTTGCATTAATTACCTACTCTGGTGCCTGCATTTTTGATATAGTATTAAATTTTACACAAATTAAACAAACGACTGCTCATCTTAGAAGAGGTGCAGTCATTGAGAGGTGGCCCAATTTAGATTAATTCACCATTATGATATTTTACACTGTAAACACACCGTATAGCCAGATGCTCTCCGTCAGCCTGTTGCTCTCCACACTGACCTGCTGTGCTGCACTGCCTTCCAGCGACTCCTCTTAACATTGCACGGTTTGCGTTTGTGGTCGACACGTCATCAATCTGCGACACGGCCACTCCGGGGAACAACCGCGCCACACTTGCTGTCTGGAGTCCGCTAGGCGTTCCCAGGCTTATAAGCACGTTTAAATTAATTTGAGGTAGGTGTATTTATTTAGCTGTGACGCGGTGCTGCTCGGGATACAGCGTTTAATTGCGGTGTTTGTCAATTCTGCCGCACAGTGAAGTTTTTAAACCCAGAAGCTACCGGTTGGTAGGCAAAACTTAGCTAACGTTAGCTATCGTTAACCGGTATCTCATTAATTTTTGGACCTACTGAATGGCTAAAATAGTAGTGCGTGCGGTTAAATGTAAGGTAATTATCGCACACAGTATAACTGGCCGTTTATTTGTGTGTCAACAAGCTTGCTAGCAACCATAAGCTAGCAGCGGTTACGGTAGCATTACCGTTAGCCGTCAAGCTAAGTCGGGTTTCTCGATATCTGATCTCGTTGCACTTTGACTGTTGAAAATGGTAACCGAGAACAATTATAAACGGCCTGGTAGCAAAACTAACTTAGCCCAAGTAGCTTTAAGCGGTAACGTTAGCTATCTAGCATCACACAATGTTTTGGATTGTTTGGATTCAGAGCTACAGTCTGTTTGCATCAGCTAACGTGCCTCACCTGTCGCCGTGGTATTTAATAGTATTGATGCTCTCGACGAGTACGTGAATATTGTTTGCTATTAGGTAAAACACCTCGTGCTTCTATGTTCCCCACCAGGCTTCCAGTCGGACCAACATTCATGCACTATGAGTTTGTTTGGAACAAGCTCCGGCTTTGGGACAGGAGGGACCGGTGTGTTTGGAAGCACGACAACAGACAGCCACAACCCCATGAAGGTAAAACCAGGAGAAAACCACCTGGCACGGTTATTACAAACAGCGTCCTCACCTGTTCACCTGACATCCTACTGTCGCCCCACAGGATGTTGAAGTGACTTCTCCTCCAGATGACAGCATCAGCTGCCTGGCTTTCAGTCCTCCCACCATGCCAGGCAACTTCCTCATTGGAGGATCCTGGGCCAACGATGTGAGTTGGCCATAATACTTGGTTGCATTGGCAGTGTTGGTTTCATTACTCAAAAAACAAATGGATTTGTTGTTACTTATTTAGTCCCTGTAGAAAATAATTCATTGAACTATCTTGCTCCATCACCTGAGATACAGTGATGTGTAATTGCAAGTTAGCAATATGACATTTCAGTTGGATCTGCAATAACTACTGGTTTTAAAAATCGTTTGACACCATCATGCTGGATAGCCTTGGTGTTTTCTGTCGTTAGCAATCAGTGCCTCAGCCTATATTGCCCAAGTCAAATGGAAAAATTCTCCCCAAAAAACAAAGCTGAACAACTGATTCTCGCCCTTATTTTTTCCTGCCTGGACTTCTGTAACTCATTATTCACCTGCCTAAATGAGGCAGCAGTTTCCCATTTAAAGTTGGTTCAAAGCTCAACGCAGGGGACACATTAATCTAGTCCTGATCAACTTCCACTGGCTCCCCATTCATCACAGAATTCAATTTAGCCCTGAGAACATTTTACCCCTTAGTATCTACTGCTGTTAAAAAATTGCATGGTCTAGACTTTTGTCAGAGGGGGACCCTACTCATGCCCACATATCAGCACAAATCATATCCCTATGAGCAGGACATATACAGGATCTTCTTTTTTATGCTCTTTAATAAAGAATAATCACAATGAATGAAGAAAAGTTTGTGAAAACCCTCCCATAGAGCACTTACAGAAAAATGTTGTGGTGAGAACAAGACTTATTGGCATGTCTAAGAGAATCAGGGTTGCACTGGCAGCAGGCTATACTGCCACAAAATTAAAGTAGTAAAAGTAACTGTGGTGTGATTGATGAATTTAAGATCAGTATTGCGTTGCTTCACTGTACTACAGATGAATATAATTGGTTGTAATACATTACTCTGTAATGCATAGGGATGGGCACCGAGACCCAGACCGAAATTTTAAAATCTGTGTCATATGTAGCTCCGTGCAGCAACACACAGGTGACAAAGATCCAGAAGTATTATTTAATTATCTACAGGTGCTGCAGAAAATGTTAATTCCCACAAAGGTAACAAGTTGTTTGCATGTCAGAGCAGGAACACCACAATCTGTCGAAACATCCAGTAAAAGTTTATCAAGTACAGAAAAAGAAACGCACATAGTTCATCACTAACCAAGTACGTTATGTTTGTTAGCAGCCGCACACAGAGTTAACTACACTATACAAGCATGGCTTAATGATTAAAAGTAAGTATTTTCCAGCCGTTTGTTAAACTGTCTGGGGTCATAAATTCATTAAAAATGTTAGTTTCACTTTCAGAACACAGAGCAGCAGGATTTATTGACTTGGAGGCTGCAGACAAACTCTGTCTTACTTGATTTTCAGAGTTTCTCTGATTGAATGTTCGTGTTAGTAGTTAAAGAAGTAGTTCAACTGTTTTTTTTCTCACTCAACCTTTAAAATCGCACAATAAAAATACTGTTGAAGATCTGCATGAATTTTATATTCAATAGTGAAGATTGAAACAGGTTTCATCAACACAATGTGCTGACATTTACCTGATATCTGTTCAAGGGGGAGCTTTTTATTCTGCTATAACGCTGGACAGTTTGACACACATTGCATAATATTTATTTTGTGAGTAAAACCTGTGACACTGTCCACTGTGCTCTGATCATCCCATCAACAAAACATTGGTGTCTATATAAATTTAAATCCTTATACAGTACGTATGAGAAAATAAAGCTATGTTTAGTCTGTTCTTGAGTTTAGTTTTTCTCTTTTAAAAACCAAACAAACAAAAACAACCAAAGAGTATTGATAAGAATATTGTTAAACTACTAGGCTGACAAGCAGTATCAGTAAAAGTAGTAGTACCATTAAAATTGTAACGATCCTCATTCCTAATAATGCGTTACTCCTGCCGCTGAGCAGTGGTATATAGTGAATTAGGATTATGGACCTTATGGCATTTGAGGCCAGTTGAGGGGAGATGGAAACCTTCCCCAGCCTTGTCTTCATCAAGGACTATGTCTGTTTAGTGAGTTTGCAGTGTTCTCACAAGTTGGCAGTTAAACTTGTATCGTCTGACTTCAGGTCCGGTGTTGGGAGGTACAGGACAACGGACAGACTGTCCCCAAAGCCCAACAGATGCACACGGGTCCAGTCCTGGATGCATGCTGGAGCGATGTAGGTCTCTTCATACAAAGTATATTAATCTCTGCAGCAGATGCTGTCTGTTAGATTGTAGAATAATTCATGATTTGCTTTTCCTTTTCACCAGGATGGGAGTAAAGTTTTCACTGCTTCCTGTGACAAGACAGCCAAGATGTGGGATCTTAACAGCAACCAAGCAATGCAGATTGCACAGGTTGGATGAAAGCACCAGGAGCAACTATGTCGTCATATATGACGCAAAATCCTCTTACACCTCTCATCATTTTCCTTCACAGCATGATGGTCCAATTAAAGCAATTCACTGGATAAAAGCCCCAAACTACAGCTGCATCATGACCGGCAGCTGGGACAAAACACTGAAGGTACAATAGCCATCTTTTAATGCTCAAAAAGAGACATATTTAGTTTTTGCATTGGGGTCAGTTGAACATCTGAAAAGGGCAGGACGGTAAAACATGACCAAGACAGTCCAGTTGAGTGATAGATGCATGAGTTTGAGTGCTGATCAGAAACCAGCCACAGCTGCGTGTTGACAAAGTAGGGCCAGTCAAAAATAATGCTCTATTTTTTCTACACACTGTTTGTGAACATGCTTTCTGAATGTGGCTGGAGAGTTGAATAGAACAAACATGATTCTGTTTTCTTCGTTAGTTCTGGGATACCCGCTCTGCCAATCCAATGATGTCACTGCAGATGCCAGAGAGATGCTACTGTGCAGATGTCGTAAGTGTTTTATAACACCTGAGACATGACCTGTCATTCTTTCTTTTGTTGCTGGCCTTCGCTGTGGACAGCAAAGAAAGAATTTCATTGTACAGGGAAGCATGTTTTCTTTACTGTGCATATGACAATAAACTTTGATTGATTTCTGGTTAGATAACTGGTTAGATAACTGGTTGCTAACTGACGGCTTTTTAATATTTCCTCCTACCTCTGTCACATGAAGGTGTACCCCATGGCGGTGGTTGCCACAGCTGAAAGAGGCCTGATAGTGTACCAGTTAGAGAACCAGCCCTCTGAGTTTCGCAGAATAGATTCTCCGCTCAAACATCAGGTAAATTTTCATCCCTACACTATTTTCCATTTGTCCTTTCTCACTTCTACATTTTAACACATTATGCAGTCAACTCTTGTAGTGTTATGTATAGCCAGATTTTCACATTTTTATCTTACTTGATGCATAAATATAAACCAACCTTTGTGAGATGTTCAATTTGTCATCTGTGACATTCTTCTGATCCGGTGCACCACCCTGCTCTTATCTTGCAGCATCGCTGTGTTGCCATATTCAAGGACAAGCAGAACAAGCCAACAGGTTTTGCACTGGGAAGCATTGAGGGCCGAGTGGCAATCCACTACATCAATCCTCCAAACCCGTGAGTGTCTAAAACGATCCATGTCTCAAATTCAGTGAAGTGCACAAGTTTTGGATGAGTGTTTTGTTTACGTAATTTCAGATATTACTCTAAACCACTCACTAACACCTGAAGTGACAGAAGGCATGAATGTGTTCTCTGACTCCTTTCAGAGCCAAAGACAACTTCACCTTCAAGTGCCACAGATCCAATGGAACCAACACAACCACTCCACAGGACATCTATGCTGTAAGCAGTTCCTCATTTCTGACAGTGCTGACAAAAATCTGTGTATCTTTTGCTCGCTTAAAGGACACTTTAATAACATTGTTTCATGAGATCACAAAAAAACGACTGTTTGTGTAGTTGTTACCAAGATCTTTGGTGCGAAATGTTAACTATAGAAATAACCAATGTAGAACTAATATCAAAAATGATGGATTTCTTTGTATGGAAAAAGTAACTGAATTTAGTGTCACATCTGTTTTTTTTTTTGTTTTGTTTGTTTGTTTTTGCCTGAGTATTTTATATCTGCAGTCAGAAAATTAAAGCAATAGTGTTATATTTAGCACAGTTTTCATCATTAACGGTGGCGTGTGCAGTTCTCATCCAGGACACTTCTGTTAAATTTAGTGACTATCTCCCTGGAGTCTGCTAGTTGTCTGTTTTCTGTATGCGTTAAAAAAAAATCTGGCATTCATGCACAGTCCTGGCTCTGTAAATGGGAAACAAAGTGGCTTGGAACAAGCCACACAACACTATTCCAGCTGGTTATATGGGCAAGAGGGACAGTAAACTGGGAGCATGATATCTAAATATGCTGACTAGCTAAATATTTTCCCTCCAGAATCGCAGAACCTACTTTTAATGTGAGTCTGGCTTGACATCAGCACACTTTGCGTTTTTAAGTGCACTCATTATAATGTGGTTACTTTAACCTTTGAATAATTGCATAATTCCACTTGTTTTTCAGTTGGTTTGTAATTTTTAATGGCCCTTGTGTTTTTTTCTTTTTTTTTTGTCAGTGTCAGTCCTTAACTGAAAATGCCAAAGTCAGAGTAGTGCTCCCAACAACACAGCTGAAAAACTCATTGATCCCTTTTCTTCCTCCTACCTGGACTACTGCAACTTATTGTTCACCTGTCTGAATGATTGAACAGCTTCCCGTTTACAGTGAATAACATTGGCTCCCCATTTATTATAGAATTCAATTTAAGGTTTTATTGATTACTGTGGATCTCTACGTGATCCTGGTTCTGCTCTATGTCTCAGAACATTTAACCCTTTATTCACCAAATTTGACCTCTTAGATCAGAAAATCAGACGCTTTTAAACATCCCACAGTCCTGAACCATGTTTTTACTGTTTAAGCCCCAATGCTGTGCAAGATCCCCCTTTACTGTCAGCAGCTCAGTCAGTGCCTCAGTTTAGAAAAAAAACTTTTAAACTTGTACAGATTGTCATTTGTGAAATCTTTGATGTCTTTCTAAAAGTTATATCTTTTCAATGTTTCCTTGTTTCTTCTTTTTTCAAACCGCTTGCATCTCCAGTTTTGAAACATGCTTTGTATATTGCTATTATATGGTATGCTATTATATTCACTGGTCATTACAACTTAGTCTGTACTAACCAGCCTCGTTATCATGTTTCCACATTCTGTTCTCCATTTTTTTTCCATCAGGTGAACGCCATCTCTTTCCATCCTGTTCATGGCACACTGGCCACTGTGGGCTCAGACGGACGCTTCAGCTTCTGGGACAAAGACGCCCGCACCAAGTTGAAGACTTCCGAGCAGCTCGACCAGCCCATCACAGCTTGCTGCTTCAACCACAATGGAAACATCTTTGCATATGCTTCTAGTTACGACTGGTCAAAGGTTGGGCTTGTAGATTCTTTACAAATTGTGTTTTCCAACTCCAGTCTGCAAAGCTTGTCTTTTCGTTCTGGCCGCAGGAGTGTAGTCATTGTGGACACTAACGCTCACTCTGCATCCCTCAGGGCCACGAGTACTACAACCCCCAGAAAAAGAACTACATCTTTCTGAGGAACGCTGCCGAGGAGCTGAAGCCTCGGAACAAGAAATGGTGAGAGCAGGGCAGCCACTGTCTGTAAACCTGGAGACCGTGGTCACTGGGCTGCCCCATTTCCTGATTGCCCCTGTGACTCTAACTGGGGCATTTCAAAGGGCATGCATGTATGCGGGCAGTGAGGAGATTGACATGATGTAGATCTCAGTATTGCCACGTTACCGCTCCAAGTAGCCTGTACTGACCTGAGTGCAGTTAGGATGAAGGCTTGTGTGGTTTCTGCTGTAATGGTGTAAACAAGCTGCTTTTGCTCCTTCACAATCAGGAATATTTGGAATGAGGCCTGCTGGCTTTTTTACAGCATTTAGCTAAGTAGTTAGGCTTTGCAGTGTATTCATTGGCAGAACAATGTATTGGAGGACTGTTATTTATTGAAATATGGACTATCAGAAATGTCAAGAATATTATACATAGGAAGGCAATAATTTATATAAATCAACCATCATTTGTGAGGATTGATTTTTGTCTGCCGATTAGTGATTTATGTTGTTTATTCTGTGCATAGAGGGACTCCTTCCCAGAAATAAACACAACAAAACCACAAAAAACACGTTCTTTGTGACTGACTGCTCCCTCCTGTCTCCAGATTCGTCGTGCCAAGTCGCATCTCTTGTGGGGAAATGCGGAAGACCTGCTGCTTTAGTGTGTGTATACGCTCGACACAGACTCCTTCTTTTCGGCAAACACCTGGACCAATGCCGTGGTGCTGTGTACTGTGCATGGACCAATCAGAGGGGCCTACCCAACTGGCATTGATGACAGCTGCATGACAATTGGTCTTAGAAGTCATCATAGAAGGGGGAGGGTTTCATTTGTCATTCATTTTGATGTTTTCATTACTATATGTCCAGCTCCTTGTTTTTTGTTTTTTTTACAGCTTTCCAAAGGGTTTTCAATTTCTTATGATTTGCTGTTACTGATGGTTTAGCTCCATTCATGAAACTGGGATGTAAAATAAATACGTGCATACTCTTAGATTCGAACATGTTTATTCCAGTTTAAAGGAGTAAGTAGGTTAAAAAATAACCTATGTGTTTGCTGTATAAAATGTTTGTTGGGCCATTAACCAAACTGTATTGTGCATGCGAAGACATCACCGTCAAACTTCACCACTATCTCGTAATTCAGCTGTTAATCTCTCCGTGATGTGGGTTTCTGACATTGGAATCATCATAAACTGAAAAAAAGATAAACACTGAACTAAATCTGTAACACAGTGGCTCCTCCTATGTGCTTGTTTTAGTCCAGGTTAACCAGCAGGTGGAGCATTTTGCTGGTGAATCCCAGCTGCTACCTGTAGAAGAAACCAGGGAGCTAAGCAGGCCAAGCGAGATCAAAGCAGGACAGTGGGATTCTCCGTCCAGTCCCTTTTGACAGGGATACACAGCTGCTAAATGGGGGATTTACCAAGAGGATATGAATGGGCTATAGCATGGGCAGCTACAAAGGCCATGTGTGAAAAGTGAACCAGTTCATAGAGGACAAGGTGTGAATTAAATGCCTTTTTATTGAGGTCATTAGAGTATCACCTCACTGTTAGCCTGACCCTTGGTACTTAGCAGTGGAGCTCCAAGGCACCAAGGGCGGGAAGGTATGCTGCTGCCACAGTTCACCGGCTCCTTTCAGCTTCCGTGGGGTGACGCTGGTATCACTTCTCTGGCTCCTTGACTGCTCTGTCAAGACTGCTCCATGGTTCTAGAAAAGTTCTGCAGGCTGACGGATTCGCTCCCTGGCTTTCAAAAGTACCAGGAGCATTTACTAAACTTTTGCTGTATGAAGATTGACCTGTTGCTTTTGAGCTGGTCTTTCCTAAAGTTCCTCAGAACTGACCAACTCCTAACAAGTGTGTTTAATACATTTGCCCCAAATATTGCATAATATCCTGATGTAAATGAACTTTATACAAACTGGTTGATAAACTAACACAACCATTTCAACGTACCTCACAGTTCTGTTGCTTTTTCCCAAAAAAAATAACTTACCATATGTGTCTGAGTAGATTCTCAGTCATCTAGGTCATGGTAATCCTAAGAGCTTCTGGAGAAAATAACTAAAGTTGCTCTGCCACATTGCACATTGTACTAGTGTAATGAGTAAGAAATTGTCTGGGCTTCTGGCCTAAATAACGTCTCCATTAGTCAGTTAGAGCCGAAGACGCCTCTTGGATGGGAGCTGAAATGTCTCCAAAAAAAAAAAAAAAAGTGCAATTGTCTTTTAGTCTTGGGAATAATATATATGGTAATCATTTTCCTATTCTTCTGTGGTATTTTGTACTTTAATGCACTATTCCAGACTTTTAATAGAATATAACTGTGATGCTCTATTAGTGAGATTGAAAAGAAATACTCTTCAGTACATTAAGAACATTATGAAACCACCAGTAACAGTTTCTCTTTGCTGTAACTAGTCATTCGCTTGTATGTGTATTAAATGTTAGAAGGTTACAAACTAAGCGTGACTATGTTGGTCCCAAGAGTGTTTTAAGGTTGCTGTGGTTTCAGCTGTCCTTTTGTTTCAGCAGCACTGTGACGAAAAAAAAAAAAAAACTTGGAGAGAACTCTTGTATTTTTGCTTTCTACTCAGAAAAAATGCTTGTCATCATCATAAAGTGGAGTGGCAGTGACATAAGCATATTCAAACCACAGTTTATTACGTTTATGTGAGGTGATTTAGGCCAGAAGCCGAGACAATTACTTCCTCATTACAGTGGTACAATGCGCCATGTGGCAGAGCCGCGCTTTCTGCCGCACAGTGCGGCTTTTTCTTTGTGCTGTAAAAGACAAAAGCAGGTGCAGCTCAGCGCCTGGAGGGGGGCGGGCCAATGGGAGGAGCCGCTGCGAGGAGCTCCAGCGCTGATTGGTCAATAGTTACCCAGGGGGCGGGGTCTCGGCCGGGTCTATATAAACTCATTTCCTCACAGCGGCTCAGAGGCAACCAGCGGGCGGAGGAGCTGACGGAGTCACGGATGTCATCAGGTTGTTTCAACTTTGAGCAAAGTGTAAGAAGAGCGGAGAAACTACAGCAAAGTCTAGCGAGAGGTTCAGTTTAGTGTTTACCGATGCTGGGACGTTGCTGAGCGCTTAGTCGTGTCTTCAGAGTCTTCTCTCCGGCTGACCAATGCTTCTGCATCAGTTCATGAACGGAGCCCTGGACGTCATGCATCCCACACCGCTTCAGAAAGACACCACTTTCACCAAGATCTTTGTCGGCGGACTGCCGTACCACACGAACGACGCCTCGCTGAGAAAATACTTCGAGGCCTTTGGGGACATTGACGAGGCTGTGGTGATAACGGACAGACAGACCGGCAAGTCCAGAGGATACGGCTTTGTGAGTATAAACAACACGGTCGTGACTCGAGCTGCTCACAAACACACCTCATCCTACCTGCAATTAAGCCTTGACATGCTGGTGCCTTCTCCTCATGTGGGAGTTTGTGTGACTGAATCCACATGCTGAGCTGTGTAATCATTCAGCTACATGTCAAAGGTAATCCCCCCTCTGAGGCTTAAACGCATAATTGCACAGCATCTCTGTTTTTTTCGCCTGGCTGGCTGTTATTTTAGCCTAATGAGGATGAGGGATCACACAAGTTGATGGGTAACTAAGAAGATTATATTTCAACATATGTCTGAGGTCCACCCACCCAGTGAAGGGCCCCCCTCACTCACTCCCTCCCTGAGCAACCCCAGCTTATATCTGTGCAAGTGTGTGTGTATATATTTATGTGTGTGAGAGAGCCAGTCTGCACCTCTTGCTGCTTTATATGGTTCTTTCAGAGCAGTGGGGAGGTTGACCTTGCACACCCTGTGCTCCATTGTCAAGGACCGGAGCAGTCGGCCGTAGCACATGATTTACATCACATCTTGGCTGCTGAGAGAAATTCCAACACCAACAAATCGGCTCTGTCCTATTGTACAAAATGCATGTTAAAGTCCCCCTTTTGATCTTGTCTGGCTCAGTTCACAGACAGGCCCAAACCATTATAGGAGATGTTGTAAACTTTAAAAAAATAAAACATAGTCAAGGTGGTTGTGAGGGGGAAAAAAGTGCTTTTTTTTCCCCTCACAATTCCTCTAAGTCAGATTACTGACAAATATCCAAGAAGCCTTGTGATGCCCAGTTTAAATCTGCATTAATAGGTGACTTATCCGGTTCCTGGCAGATAAAGACAGGCGCTCACTTTGACACAAAGAACAGAAGCTGCACAAGAAATGCAAATATTTACCAGAACCTTGGAAAGACACATCAGCACTAATGTACTATCAGGCCAAAGAAGGAATGGAAAACTGTTATGTGTGCATGTTTACCACTAAAGGCAGAATTGTAAGACAATTGCTCTCAGTGTTTACACATCAGCTCTGCAGCTCAGAGGAAAGCTGTCCTGTGAGTCTTGCCGGTATCAAACGGCTGCGTGTGGAGGCCGGTGTTTCAGGTTAGACTGGCTCACAGCGATGTGGGTGCTTCCCAGGAAAACACACACACACACACACACTAACTGATGATAGTGAAGTGATCAGCACTTTATTCACTTTTTGTGTGCCGTGAGGCAACCGGCTAATTCTGTTTTCCAAACGTTCCAGTTAGAGAGGTAGCTGGCAGGAGGGGAGGGAGGTGCCCAAAGCTGAGCGCACCTTTTTTCTAAACACACTTCAGAGGTGGATTAGTAGAACCCCCCACAGCAAGGCTCTTCAGTGTAAACACAGCCTCGTTCCTTCCTGTGTGTTCACAACACAGGCCCTGGAGTGGGCTTTGTTCCGGATCCTTCCCCTACGAAGAGGCATACTGCTTTTAAAATGTCCTCTTAAACAATGCAAGCCGTGGCCTACATTCACTGCTCGGTCCACACACAGAGGTGACTCTGAGTTGGCAGAACATGGCAATCAAAACAGAAGGGCTCGTCTAATGCCAGGAGGGAGAGAGGAGGGGTGGACTAATACCAATCTCCTTATTTTGTCCCTAATTGGATAAGCTCCTTGTTGCTCTTCCCAGATCCATATTTCAGCAGCTCTGCCCATGGCTGAGTGGCAGTCGAGAGGCTGGCTACTGCTGCTGTGGGCAGTTTTCAAAGCTTATCATTGTGCTTTGTTTGTAGTTTCCCTTCTTCTTCAGAGAAACAGGATCATAACAGAGGAAAGCCTGTAGGGGGATTTTTATGACAACACACCCAAGACCTGTTTTGTGTGTTTCAGTGTTTTTCTCTGGTTTTGTTTTGCTCAGTCTATAAAAGACGGAAACTGTCTATTGGAAACATGAGACAATGATTTTACACTTTGTTGACGAGTCTAACTCTGTCACCAGGTGACGATGACGGACCGAGGAGCCGCAGAGAGAGCCTGCAAGGACCCCAACCCCATCATCGACGGCAGGAAGGCCAACGTCAACCTGGCCTACCTGGGCGCCAAGCCTCGCAGCATACAGACAGGTGAGATGGGTTTAATCACAGCTTAATTTCCACCATAAACTCATGATGATGCTGCTCTAATTCTAATCAACCCCTGATTAGAGCATAAGACATAAAACAAAACTTATTGATATCTGCAACAGTGAACCCCACCTAAGCTAAGCAGGCATATTGTGGTTTAAGCATCTGACACAACTCTATAAATGTGTCAGATGATGAGCTCATCAGTGAGTGTGGGACACAAAGATGATTAATTACCTGTTCATTTGTAGTCCTGGGCATGTTGAGACATTGTCCTTACAAACTTCTGTTTGTACTGTAAAACCCTCTGGGGGACAAAAGAGGCAGTTCAGTGTGTGACATGTGGTCTCTGTGTCCGCTGTGTTCATACATATTTTATACCGACACGCCAAATAACACTGAGTTTCCCAGTTGCATTCATGTTTTTACTGCTGCTTGCTGCACATTTGAAATTGTTGTTGGGTGGTGGGGTTGAAACAGGCTCTGTCTGTCCATGCCCTCTGTGTATTGTTCTCTGGTCCTCCTCTGTAAATGCAGATGTGTGTCTGACAGCCAGCCTCCTCTCTTCCAGGCATATCCATCGGAGTGCAGCCCATTCACCCAGCGCTCCTCCAGAGGCAGTATGGGTAAGTGAGCTGGAGTGGGCGCTTGTCGAGTTCTCTTGTATTATGCTCTGTGCAACGCCACTAGGCTACTATTTCTTTGACAAACAGGGCCTCTGGAAAGTACATGTCAGTTTCTGTGTCCACATGCAACTCCACAAGCAGCCCATTAGCATATTTGAGTTTTGTGCAACTGGGAGACGGTTCACATATCAGTGGTAATAGAAATGCGTTCCAGAGGTGAATGTGTGACTCACTTGTTAACTTCTGTCAGGAGTCTCGCGGCTCATGTACCTGCCTGAGCGGGCTCGGTTACTGAGAAGGCTTTCTTGAAGTGGTTGTGTTGTAGAAACAGGCTGGGGAGCGTCTAAGAGCCATGGTCTGCTGAGCAGCTAATGAGCATTTCGCTGTAGTAATGACTCTCCTCTCCCCTGCAGCTCTGATATCACGCTTCAAGCTACAGCTCAGGCCCCGCTCGCATCTTACACTCCAAACCTTAGATCTGTCTGGAAGAGTAAAACACCAGAAGTCCAGTCAAGTTTCTGAAGGAGTTTTGGGAACAAGTTTTTGACACACACTCCTTATAGATATACAAACTCAAAGAAATATATATTTCTTTAATGTGTTACTATCTCAAAAATGCTACACTTTAATAAACAGAAAATTAAACATTAACAACTTTAATGTCCAGTTAATTATTAGTGAGCCTTTATCTAAGGGGCCAGTGATGGCTTGAGAGGAATTCATCAACCATTGAACATTTATCTTATTTTCTATTGATGTAAACTGAATATTTTTGTGATTTGGACTCAGATAAAACCATCAGTTGGCCCTGGATTCTTACACTGAACATTGTCACTATTTTTTGTTGGAGTCTGATTATATGGCCCATCTCTTCTATAAAACACTGCAGTCACATCACCCTGGATTTATCTAAAGCAGAACTTGCAGATTAATATAGAATGAAAGCAATCTGTAGTCGCAGCTCGCTACAGTGCGTGACTTAAGAGTATGTGAGCTTTGTGGAAATCCCAGTGCAGTCCACAGGGATGACTAAATAAGAAACATTTGGTGGTTTGGGGGTCAGTGAACTCAAAAAAAAAAGAGACACTCTTGAACTAACAAGGAGTGCTCATCAGCCGTTCTATAAGAGCTCCCTGGATCCACTAGGGACGCGTCCCACCATTTCCAAGGCCTTAGGAGGACACAGGAAAGTCCCTGTTATGTCGATGCCCCGGCTACCACATGGATGGTACCAAAACCTCGAGGGTTTGAAACGTGGCGCACACTGTTGCTTTGAGGCATGTGCCTGACAGGTGCTGGGTCGTATTACAGCCTTTTGCACCCCCTTAATCTCCCATGACCACCACCCCAGAGACGCAGAGGCACACGGAGCACCTGTCCTCCTGTCTCTGGGTTTCCTCTGTATGGTGGGTGACAGACACAGGCCTCCCTAAGATGCAGAGTGTACAAGTGGCTTTTCTTTTAGCCTCCCCCACCCCCCCTTTCAAACCCCTTGACAACATATGGTGTGAGGAGGACGTGGTCTGATGTAGGGTTTTGAGCAGTGCATGTAGTGGCAGTGTGCCTGGTTGGGACTTACTGACGTGGATGTGTGTGTATAGCTGTGGTCAGCAGATGCTGTGGACTGTGAGGGCCAGTGGGGGTCACCGAGGCCAGGAACATTGTTTTGATGGGGATGGGAGGAGTTGTCAGCGTGCTTGCAGATTCATCTCTTCTCATGCATCACCACCTCCACGCCGTCCACAACCCTTTACCACATCATGTATATCCTTTTTTTTTTTTTTTACTTAAATTTCTTCGGTTACCAAGCTGCCACCACCAGCGTGTCTGATGGAGACACTGAAAACTGACACCTCTGTGAGACTGGGAGGGAGGTGGGGGTTAAAGAGGAGAATGAGGAGGTAGAGGGGGGAGTTGTAGGCCTAATGCTTAATGAGGCAGTGCGCTCCCTAGGAAACTCACCTCTACAGGTGTCAAACAAAACACCTTTTTTTTTTCCCCCCCTCCGGCTTTCAAAGAATAATCTCAGTTCTTTTAAACAAAGGGGGAAGGAAAGGATATCAAGTCCTCTCTCAGTATTGTAAGGTGTTGTTTAATTCCCCCACCCAGCCCAGTCCTGTCTGTTTTCACACTTTGTGTCGCGGTGACTCATGCGCTGAAGGTCATTTGTGTTACGGTGTAGAAATATTTCGCTGCTCGGCGCGATATCGCCCAGGCTTTTCACATTCGCTCATTATGTGGCCTTCGTGAATTCTCCAGCCGGTATTTGTAATGTTCGCAGTCATCAAATGTTTTCTGGTAAACTTGTCTCTCTGGTGTCTCGGGCCTGCCATTCGCAGAGTGGCACTGTGTCAAACGCACGCCGACTGGCCGTCAGCAGAAAACCAGCTGACCTATGATCTTCTGGCTGTCATCCGCATTCCCCTGCCACTGTCTCCCAATCCACTTGGCAACTCTGTGGCCCAGGGACTCGCTACTGTCCCTAACTTGTCCCCATCCCCCGTTTTTTTTTTTTTTTTCCTTTTTAGATTAAAGCTAAACATGCAGCGGACATCTCCGTCCCTCTGCACAAACCAAAAGATATGAAACAGGAGTGCTTTGTCTCTCCTTTGCTTCTATTCCACTTTACCTACATAAGGTCACTTGCCCGTGGCGACGCGCTGCCAAGGCCACGGAGAAGGCAGGCTCATTATACACGACGCGAGTGAAAGCACATATGCCTCACAGCATTAATGTATGGTTACTTTGAAAGCTGTGTGTGAGAGTGAATGCCTCTTTGTGAAGTAGCTCGACAGCACTGTGAGGGCACAGCGTAGATTGCGCTCAGGGGTGGGGGTTGCCTTCATTTGCTTATTCCTACTCGTTGCAAGCCACTGTTGTCTTGTTATGCGCTCTGACACTAGGACTTATTTCCCCTTTCCGTGCCAGGTGTCTCATTAAGCTTCTGTATCTGTTGTTTTGAAACGCAACTGTGTACAATTTTATGCAGGTTATCATGTCATAGGCTTTTTTTTTCCTGATTTCATTGGACATGCATTCCTCATTTCAGATTAGATCGCACTTTCCTGTTCTCCCCCTCTTGCTTTATAAACACTTCCCTGCATTGACTTAATGACACAATAGGACCTTAATGTGATTGCTGACAATAATCACTGCCATCCTCCTATCCACCCTTATTCCACGGTTGCTCTCTGCTGCCAGCTGACCAGTGCACCAGCAGAGGATCAGAAGATGGCCACAGTACAGGAGTAGTCCCGAGGAGGGGTACGACAGAAAATATCTGCCTGCCCCCCCCTCCTCCCTCCCTCAGCCAGCCTCTCTCCAAGGTGCCAGTGATGGCTTGAGAGTGCAGTGCAGTGTGCTGTGATGGACTGGAGTGCCTTTTTTATCTTTTCCCCTTTTGTGTGATATGAACTGAAGAGGTTATGCTGATTGCAGTGTGACTCTTTCCCTATTATGGCATGGTTTGGGGTTTGCAGTGGTAACTGGTGTGTGTGTTTGTGTGTGGGGAGGTGTTTAGGTGGGTGGAAAGATATTAGAGGGAAGGCAGAGGTACTGGAGAGGGGGGTGTGCTTATGAGTGTTTGAGAGTGTGGTGACATCCCAATCCTTGCATGCTACCATCTTTTGCTGTGTTGACTTCATAGCTGTCTTTTATTGCTGATCTTTTTCTTCTAATAGACCGAATGTGTAGAAGAAAAAAAAAAAGTAAGGCTGAAATTATAAACAGTCCATAATAGGAATGTTTTTTGTTTTATCAGCACTGAGATGCAGCTCAAGGTGACATTTATAGATAGTTTCTCTGTCTGTCAAAAAAGTCAGTTATATCACCTTTTATATGGGGAGTGGGGGGTCTTCTGCCTGCGTTCACCAACATCCTTTCCTTTTACACAACAAACTCAGAGCAAGACTATAAATCCTCAGTAAAAATAGACTAATCTAAACCCCGCTGCCCCTGTCTTTTCTCTGTGGGTAAAGTGGCAAGGCGAAGACAGTACGGTCCCCAGACCCCACAGCTCTAATCAGCTATTTCTGAGAGTCGGCCCATGAGGCCTGGCGGAGCCTCACACCCCAGCCCTGATGAGCTCCCCTGCCGCCATTACCTGCCCTGGCTGGCATCATCACCTGTTGTAGGCTGAGTGAGATTTACAAACCAGTGAGAACAAGGAGACGGCAACTTCTGCACTCCCCTCATGCACTTCCCTTTTTTGTGTGTGTGGGTGTGTGTGTGTGTTTGAGTGTGTTCAGCGAGTGAAGAACAGCAGCTGTTAAAACACTCTGCTGATGCCTGAGCTTGAAAACCTGCCAGTAACGGCTGACTCTATCATTCACCCCCTCCACTCCTCCCCTCCCGTCTACCGCAGGAGGCCCTACCTAACAGGTTTTGTAGCTTTTACTAACTGACACAGACAGAGTGTTGAGTCACCTTCGCCTCCTAACCTCCTCTGCCTTCCGTCTATTTAGTCTTAATATATATAATAATAGTGGATATCCGCGTGAGAACGCTGTAAGTTCAGAACACCTACAGAGAGTTTATATTCCCAACGTGCTCACCCCCTGGGAGCAATGTAAACAATAGAAGCCAGGCCTTGGGATTTCTCTGCTCTGGTGCTGCAGCCCTTCTGTCTAACCCCCCCTCCTCTGGTCTTTGTGTCTGTGTGCAGGTTGGCCCAGCCATACGTCTACCCACAAGCGTTCGTGCAGCCCAGCCTGGTGCTGCCCACTCAGGTTTCCACTTCTGTCAGCACCAGCCCCTACCTGGACTACAGCGCAGCCTACAGCCAGTACGCCCAGGCTGCCTTCGAGCAGCAGTACCCGTACGCCGCCTCTCCAGCCGGCTTTCTGAGCTACAGCTACGCCACCAGCCCCACGGCCTCCGCCGGCCCGGCCGCCGCCGCCACGGCCCCGGCCACCGTACACCCCACCCTCCCCTCCGCCGCCGGCCCCGCCCCAGCCTTCCTGCACTACGCCCCGCAGCAGCACATCCAACCGGACCGCATGCAGTGAGCAGAGAGGAGGGAGCAGCTGGGTGGGGGGGAGAGAGGAGGTTGGGGGAGAGGTGGTCGCAGACCTTTGGACACAGGATAGTGAAACGCCCTACAGGGTGACCCTGCTGTTGTCAGCGGCGGCTTTCAGGAAAAAGGGTGGGACTATTGCACTATACGATCAGGATGAGCTGCTGGCTCATTGGTTAAAGGGTGGAAGGCGGGAGGACTGTTGGGGTTCAGGTTGGGAAGCCAAACAGCATAAAGTATGTGGTAGCTTCCAAGGGCTTCCAGAAGCTGACACTTCATTTTTTATTATTATTTTTATCGTCCTTTATTATTGTATTAATGTCCTTGTCAATGTTTGTTTGTATGCCATTATTATCAATGTTTAGCATGTTTTTTGGCTCAATCAGTGGAAGTTGTATATGTCCATGGTACATATTGATGTTTTGAGAGCTGTCTGAGACATGTGACACCTCTTTTCCCCCCTGATTCCAGAATATCTGGGGTGGAAATGAAGGGCACTGCTGCTTTAGGACACTGGGGGACAGTCATAGATGGGGAGGTGCAGGGTGAAGACAGAGGGGGGGGGGGCGATTGGCCACTTCCCAGCATATCTGTGGTCCCATCCTGGTGCTATCCACGGCGAGGAAGAGCACTGCCCCACGAACAAACCTCCAGCGTTCAGCTCCACACAGGAGGACGACGAGAGATTTTCCCCTCAAGGACAAAAGCGAAAGTTTCAGGATGAGACTGGGGGAGTTCCATTGTTTTGAGACGGTGATGTCAGGAGTCAGGACTACACTTTTTTTATTATTTTAATTCAAGAGGCCTTAATAAAAAAAGAATCTCCTGATATTTCAAGCGCTCCCCAAACCACAGAGCCAAGTGCAGAGAGTCCTTTGTAACTGACCTGACTGTTTTCAATAGTCACAATAATCTGACTTACTTGGGTCTTGATAATTTCAGACGGATGTAGATAATCACAAGCAGTATGTGGGCATGTGGGGAGCAGGAGCTTTGTATATCAATGTTAAAAGGTAGCTGACACTGAGCTCAAATACCAGTGTTTTTCTTTTCCTTTAATCTTTTTTTTTTTTGTCAGTGAGATTGTCAAACTGTTGCTCTCAAAAGGACATTCATGTACAGCATTTGAAAATGTTTTCCGTCATCAAGAACATTTACAATATTTATATGTAGGTATTTATAAGGTACTAAGTTAAAACCGCTTTTTTTTTTTTTTTTCTTTGTTACTATGACTATAGTTGTGGCACTGATGTCCTTCAACGTGCAGAGGCATAGCTGCAGATCCACAGGAGTTCTATTCTTCTGTGTTTGTCGTCCCGTCACCACATCGGAGGATTTGCCAGCCGGTTCATAGATGCTTGTTTGTAGATCCTTGACTGGTTTCATCGGAAATTCTCTAGATTTTTTTTTTTTTCTTTCCCAATAAGAATGTCTTTTACAGTCCCTTCAAAGAAGCCATACCAAAAAAAAAAAATTTAAATAAAGAATTTGTACTTAAAGATGCCTCCTGACGTCTTCTTCTGTGAAGCATAAAATAGTTTAAAACGCTGCCAGACGAGCTGTTTGTGTTTACAGTGTGTTGTCGTGATATTTGCGATGAACAGACGTGAGCAGCCTTCTGTGATGATACTGTAAAAACCCCGGTGAGGTGACAGGGTTCAGTTACGTCTGTGTGCTTGTTATCAAGACTGTGTGTGCTGTCAGATCCTGCTGAGGGGGGGGGCCGAGCAGGAGGCCCAGACTTTTATCAAGCCACAACACCACCACCTGCCAGGGGTGCTGGGTGTTCCCTTGGCCTGCACACTCGCTTTGCGTTCCCTCGCTGGGAGTTTTTTGTGTAACAGGGAAAGCGAAAATAGTTTGTCAGAAAGTGGTTTGAAGCCCTGTTACCCAGAGCTGCTGTAACAGTTTATTTTTATTCTACTAAACAAACGTAGCTCGCTCTGTTTCCCAGCAGCATCTTTCAAGTGTTTGTGCTTACATCAGCTTCTTCTCAAGATGTGTCACTTCTGAAAAAACCCACTCAGGCCCAGAGAACAAAACACAGGCAAGGTTGTTAGAAACAAAAACACATCCATTATCTTTTGTCCTCACCCAGGGTGTAATTTATCCACCCAGTAATGATTTACAATATGGCCTTGGGTTCAATAGATAGTTTTGTGGTGCTTTTGTTTTGATTGAAATCCATTCAGATCTAATTTATTCTGGAAATTTTGCACTTAATTGGACACACTGCCCTTTTTACCCAGCGTTTCAGTGAGCTACACTGCATGCGATTGTATTTTGATCCCAAAGTACTGAGTTTTTTTGTTTTTTTAAGGGTTGAATTTTAGCATCACACCTCCTCAAGTAAAAACAAGAGAACATCCTTGGCTCCAGCTCTGTGCTTTGAGCTAAATATTAACATTAACATGCTAATGTGTTCACAGTGGCAAGGCTACCATTTGATAATTAACATTGAACAAAAACAGCAGGTGACTGAGGGGGGTGCTTTTAATTTTACAGTTGTTAGGTCATAAAGCAGCATAATTCATTAGATTTTACGTTATAATACAATGAAAAGCCGCATGATCGCCGTATCACACGGTTGTTTTCTGACTTTGGAGAGCCACAGAAGTGGTGGCATCCCTTTAACAGGTTAAGTGAAGGTGTTTTTATCAGTTTTTGTTTATGAGCAATGACAGCAGCAAGTGTTTGTCGACTGTAAGAAGAAGGCATGGCTTTACAGTAAAAGTAACGGTTTGATAGAAGCCACGCAGTGTGTTAGGACAAGGTGTAGGACGTGCCAACACAAAGAACAAGTTGCGGTTCTCGTGGCTCAACCGTGTCACCAGTTTTTAAACACTTGCGTTTGAGCAGAATGAATGTGTCTGCTGTTGCTGTGTTTGCTGCTTGTTACTGTAGCGAGGCCGTCCTGCTCCCCGTTCTCTTCTCATCACTTTGTCACTGTTTATCTTTCACTATCTCACCTCTTCTCTGCTCGTGGTCTCCCTCACACATTTGTTTACTCAACTTTTCTGCTTGTCATCTGTGCTTTTCCTTCCACTCGCATCCCCATCCCCCAAAACCTCCCCTCCTATCCCTCCTCATCTTCCCTACTCCAGCGCTCGCAGCCCTGTTTCTCCTCACACGCCACTGTTCCTTTATCTCCCCTCTCTTCCTCGTCTCTCCTCTTCCTCACCATCCTCCTCGCCTTCTCCTTGTGAATCACACAGCAGAAACAGAGCCGGGTGTCAGCTTGATGAACGAGATCACGCAGGCCCGGCAGACCTTGTTATGCTGAGTCACCATAAGGCCTCTCCTCGTCGTCTCCCTCCCCCCCGCCTCCCCTCTGCCTGTCCCTCTCTTCACATGCATATACAAAGTAGTTTCAGTCAAATCTCACTCTCCGCACGTTTCTCGCTCTGTCGTGCAACTCTGACGTCAAGTGATTCCTCCGAACTGCCAAAATAACACTCCTACCTTATCAGAACTCAACTTTAATCACAACCTGGCAAATGTACCTTTTGGTTTCAGATTCTAAATGATTTTGCACTGGTCTGAGTAAGCATCATGTAAAAAAATATTTTAGTTACATCATCAGCTGTGTGTGTATAAACATAATTTTATACATTTGACATATAACACCACATTTCTTCCTAATTTTGGTTCAGGTCATGTAGGTCTTACACTTGTGTCTACATATTACCTATTACTACCACTTGTGAAAATTTGCATGTAAATTTGTCTCTATCTTAGCTGCTACCAAGATTTAAACCAAATAAATACTGAAATTTATTCAGTGATATCTAAAATATATTTTAGTTTTTTTTTTAAATCTTAAAAGCATACTTCATAGTAATTAACTCATCTATAATTGCCTCATGAGGTTACTTCCTCTACAAAATGTAAATAAAAACTATCATTTTTTTGTAGGACAATTCTCATCTTGTATGCATACACAAAATGTACATACAGCGGGTAAAATAAGTATTAAACATGTCACCGTGTTTCTCTGTAAACATATTTCTAAAGGTGCTATTGACATGAAATTTTCACCAGATGTTGGTAACAAACCATGTAATCCACTCATGCAAAGAAATCAAACCATAGATGTCTATATATTAGGTTATGTGTAATAATGTGAAATGACACAGGGAAAAAGTATTGAATATGCTTACTGAAATTTATGTAATACTGGTTAATGACAGCTTCAAGACGCCTCCTGTGTGGAGTCGCATGCATTGCTCAGGTGTGATTTTGGCCCATTCTTCCACACAGTCTTCAAATCTTGAAGGTTCCATGGGCCTCTTCTATGAGCTCTGATCTAAACTGGATTCAAGTCAGGTGATTGGCTGGGCCATTCTAGCAGCTTTATTTTCCTTTCTCTGAAATCAATAGAGTGTCCTTGGCCCTGTGTTTGGGATCATTGTCTTGCTGAAATGTCCACCCTCATTTCATCTTCATCATCCTGGTAGATGGCAGCAGATGAAGAGTTCATTTGCAAAAACAGATAACTCCATTTTTGTAGATTTTCAGGAAGCTTTTTTTTTTGTTGTTTGCTTGTGATAATATCAATCAAACTGAAGTTGAGTGGATTTGACTCAGTGGAAATGACAAAAATAGAGGTAACTTAAGTTTGATTGATATTGTCTCAGGTAGACGATGGAAAAGTGGGTTTTCTGAAGGTTTGTGAAGATGGAGTTATCTGTTTTTGCAAATGATATCTTCAGATTTTTTTATCAAGAATGTCTCGGTACATTTTTCCATTCATCCTTCCTTCACTCGTATGAAGTTTGCCAGTACCTTGTGCTGAAAAACAGCCTCACATCATGATGTTCCCACCTCCAGACTTCACTGTTGGTTTGGTGTTTTTGGGGTGATGTACATTGGCATTTCTCTTCCAAACATGGTGTGTATTTTGGCATTCAAAGAGTTCAATTTTGGTCTCATCTGACCAGACCATATTCTCTCAGTTTTTCACAGGCTTGTCCAAATGCTGTGCAGCAAACTTGAAACGAGCTTCAACCTGCTTTTTCTTCAGCAATGGAGTCTTGCGTGGTGTGCGTGCATACAGGCCATGAAAACTTATTGTTTTCTTTGAAACAATTGTACCTGCTAATTCCAGCTCTTTCTGAAGCTCTCCACAAGTGATACTTGGATCTTGGACAACTCTTCTCATAATTCTTTTCACTCTGTCAGAAATCTTGAGCGGAGCACCTGGTCGTTCATGATGAAATGATGTTCTTTCCACTTCCAGATCATGGCCCCAACAGCGCTGACTGGAACATTCAGAAGTTTAGAAATCCTTCTGTAATCAATGCCATCAGTATGTTTTGCAACAATACGGCTGCAAAGGTCTTGAGAGAGCTCTTTGTTTTTACCCCTCATAAGATGTTTCTTATGTGACACCTTGGTAATGAGACACCTTCTTATGGACCATCAGTTGGGAATGAACCAGCTGATATGAATTTGCACTGACAAGGGGCAGGATTGCTTTCTAATTACTGGCTGATTTCAGCTGGTGTCTTGGCTTTCCATGCTTTTTTGCACCTCCCTTTATGTGTTCAATACTTTTTCCCTGTGTCATTTCACATTATTACACATAACATAATTTATGGACATCTATGGTTTGATTTCTTTGCGTATGTGGATTTCACAGGTTGTTATCAACATCTGGTGAAAATTTCATGACAATAGCACCTTTAGAAATATATTTTTACTGAGAAATATGGTGATGTATTTAATACTAATTTAGCAATGTCACACACAAACGCATAGTGTAAACTTTTTCTGTGTACATACTTAACAACAACTATGCAACTAAACAGCATTAGTTGCCGTTTTTAGGCTGAACTGATAAAACTACAGGTTTTTTTGTGGCTTTCTGTTTTTCTGTTCCTACAATACACATTTCTAACAGCATGTTCCATCCAAACAAAGCAGTGTGACGCTAGTTGAAATGATTTAAGACAGGTGTAAGAATCATAGATGTGTATCTGATGAGCTGTGTCTAACACCTGACCGGCCCTGTCCATGGAGTCTGTGAGGTCTGTGAGGGAGTCCAGCCCCACCGGGCCCGTCTGGGTCTGGGGAACGTTTGTGCCTTCGCGTCAGATAGGCTTCAGACTATATTTACACTGGCACGCATAAGAAATTGCCAGACCACAGAAACCCATCACATGCTCTTTCCTGTGGCCTTTTCCTGCACCAACCAGAGCAGATAACATGGACAGGTCTGGAGAGAGTCAGGTTTAAATAAGACGCAGAGACAGTCAGTAGGGAGAAGAGTAAAGGTGCTTCTTTTAACACGGTGGAACTTAAGTTGAAGGTGGGACAACGCCTGGTCTTTATACGGGTTCGTTTGTACTTGATGTATTCATATTGCTTGTGTGTTACCCACATGGCTAAAGGGAAGAGTGCTACAGAAGATACTGACTGCAAGCAATGGCAACAGGAGCTCAGAGCAGCAGCTGAGTGTCCATACAGCTGGGATGGCTGCGCTGAGCTCCGCTGTGAC